TTGTGAAACATAATATCTATATTCGCTCGCTTGGATGGCTGTTGTTAAACACAAAGCTACACACATTGCATTTGCCATAATTCAGTTGTAGATTTGTTGATGTTTTGTTAACAAAAAGGAACAATTTTATACAATCCTAGTTATCTTTACACTTGTATTTTTCTAACAAAAGGTACACTGTTGTGTGCAAAAATTTGCTATGAAAGTGCAAGCGGGTAGCATGTTTATCTTAACTACAAAAGCTGTCACGGAACATGTGTGGAAGAGGTTCTCATTGTTGATTACAGCTGATCTTTGAATAAAAATCTGTTTGTATCTTAACTACATCTGACCTCTGATTGCTACAGTTTTTGTGTGATTAAAGATAGATATTGATGTACTATGTAGCACACACATCTATGTAATTACAGTTAATTTCAGTGTATGGATGTCTAACTGTAATGAAAAGTGATCTTAGGCTTCAGACCTATAACATGTTCATATTTTTATCAGAGGTCCTAATGATAAAATACATGCTAACTACAAGTGACTTCATTAAAACAAACAGGTAAAATATTTCTTAATAACACAGTAGCATCACTTTGTCTTAATTTCAGATGACCTCAGGGTGCAGAATATTTCACTACAGGAAGACCTGGGGAAAAAAGTTGATGATAACTATAGACAGCAAGAAGAAATAACACACCTGTTGACCCAGGCAATTGACCTTCAGCGTAAAGTTCGCTTAGTGAGTAATCATGAAGACTTTCATAAGCCAGTACTGTCATAATAGGCATATTAAATAATTACCTAATAAAATTATTAGTACAATAATTCATTTTATTTTTTTAATTGTATATCTGTAACTGTTACCTCAATGGTAAAGTTTGATTCAATTAAAAAAAAACTTAAATTAATGAATAATATCACTGGTTCAAGTGGCATTTTCTATTTTTTATGTAGCTAGATTATAAAAGTTATGGAAAATACTCTGAGGAGTCATAGATGTATATTTCCTAACCATGAAATGAAGTGGAACATATAACATGGTTTACAATTTTTTAATTTTTGAGAAATCCCTTGGTGGGTCAATGGTAAGCATACGGACTTGCAATGTTAAAATCTGGTGTTTTATTCCCCATTGTGGACAGAATGTAGATAGTCATTTTTGTAGCTTTGTGTAAAGAAAACAACAACAACAACATTTTTGACAGTTAGTAGCGTTTGAATTTCACCTAGCCTCATTTGTAGTCCCATAAGTAAAATTAACAAATTTTCTAACTGTTTTGGATTAAATTTTCAAATTTATAAAGATTAGAAGCAATTACTGATATTTATACTAATGAGTTTTTTAAGTAAAATGGTAAAAATAAACTTTAGTAATAGAATTTGTTGTCATCGAATTCATAAAATGTACACATTTATGACGTTCTTTGATATTTTTGTCGTCTTAAGATGCTAGTCTTTTTATAATATTTAGAAGAAATTATTAATTTTTAGTAATGGTCATGACCCACCAATTAATTATAAATATGATTTATTTTAACATTTAAGTACAGTGTGTAACAACAACATTTTTATTTAGTTTGTTTTGATTGTTTTTTTTTAGCACTCATGATAATGGTATTTCATAAGTTATACCAATATATGTGTAGGATTCAGATTTCCCAGTATTGAAATTTCACATATGACATCTTTCCCAAAACTCTCAGATGAAACCTTTAACAAAGCTATTAGCAAAAATATTGCATTCGGAAACATACTTAGTGTCTCTTAAATTTAAGGTATGTTATGTAGCTAACCCAGCTTTAAATATTTTTTCATTAAACTTCATCAAATATTTTTTTTCTGAATAAACACTGACTAAGTGTGTCACTATGGAATATAAGTGATAAAAATCAATTTATCCCATAACAGTTGATGTTAGCTCATTATTTAAACTGGCAGTTAGAATTTGACAATTTCATGTACTTGAGAGACTTGTCAGTTATCAAAGTTTGAGCGGATAAGATATTTCAGTTGATATTCTGTATTGAACGAGAATTTATTATAATTTTTGTTAACTATTTTTTAACCCTGGAAGTCAAAGTTGTTTAGCAAGCAGTGCTTAATATTTACATGAAAAGGTGTATTAACAAAAGAGATAAAGGAATTAAGGCAATTCTACAGAGTCTGATCCAGAAGAATTTGGGTAGAAAATAAGAATTAAAAGTATGTTAAAAAATTTGTCCCAGAAAGAAAAAGCACTTTTAACATTCATTTTCCATGTGTAATGCTTAAAATGAAAACCTTTTCTCTCTCTTGTTCCTTACATAAAATATCATGTCTAACAAATAACAGTCTTAAACAGATGAAGAAGGTCATGAAATAAAGTTTTTATTGTAGAGTGAAAGCTTGCTTTTGAATCAAGGTATACACAGCATGGTAACAAGTAAATAGACACCACCTTTTCAGAAAATATGAAAATTTTCAGTCATATTCACATGAATTGATATATTTATAATTTAATTAATATCTAGTAGATCTTCCTTTCACTTCGTGGAGTTTGTTGATCCTTTGGGGCATTATCTCGTCAATTTTAGATTGTGGGATTTTTGCCCACTCTTGCTTCACAACTTGGAGTAGATCGCTCTTCGAAGTTGGTTGTTTCTTGACTTGCCAGTCGAGTATGGCCCAGAGGTTTTCGATGGGGGTTCATGTCAGGAGATTGGCTCGGCCAGGGCAACTTCTGGATACCATTTTCTTCCTGCCACTTTTGGGTGTTTCTAGCAGTATGACACGGTGCTCCATCTTCCTGGAACAACATTGTGTTCTTATCCACGAAACCCGAGGAATAAAGTGGCAAGAGTCCTTCCTCAAATATTTCGACGTATTTCACAAAATTTATGTTGCCAACGCACTCCACCAAGCTCGATCTCCCACCAACCCAAACAGCTCCCCAAACCATCACGCTGAAACCACCATGCTTCACAGTTGGCTGCAATCTGTTGAGCCAAAACTCTTGGTGAGGTATTCTCCAGACCCATATCCTTCCACTTGATTCGTCTGAGAACAATACGGTCTTCCAAAAGTCCAGAGGCTTGGTCATCATATCACTTGCCCACTTCTTTCGTCTGACTATGTTGGCAGGTCTTAATAAGGGTTTCCGTCTAGCTGCTCTGCAACGATAACCCAATCTTTGGAGAATCCGTTGAACAGATTTTGGGCTCATTCTGCGGTCGTTAATCTGGGAGCCATTTCGATGCTCCTCTTGACAGCCCTTTTTGTCCTCTCCGATGGACCAGGAATACCCGGACGCTGCTCAGTTGTTTCCTTGCCATGTTTCCTGAACTGCACAATGATTCTGTTGACTGTTGAAAGCAGGATTCCCAAATTCTGCGAAATTTGCCGCTGACGTATTCCACCATCTGCTTGACCAGCTGTCCTTCCTCTAACAAAATCTGACAATTCGACAGTACCTTGAGTTCTAGGCATGTTGTAGCATAAGATAATTAGTGTGCAGACCATTTTGTGAACACAAATTAGTTAGCATAAATCAGTTAAATGACGAAAAATTAGGTGTCTGTTTACTTGTGACCACTCAGTGTACAGTCTTTAATACATTCCTAAATCACATGATATGCAATTTTTGCCATTTGTGACACATAAAAGAAGATGCAAGTGGTAGGTAAGATCTATCCAGTGACATTATATAATCTTGAGTTCACTTTTCAGGCTACTATATATGCATCAGAAAGTTTTATGTTTTACTCTCCTCTTCGGACTTTGAACTAATTCCGACGGGCGAAGTGCGTGTATCGTTTGTTTCAAAGTATGTTTATTTATGACACTATGTAGTTGTCATGTGATAGATTGTACTTGCTCTGCTGTTAGAACGGTGTAGTTTTAGTGCTCCATAATTTTGGAATTTTTAGCTGTGGGAAAGGGAAAAAGATGAGTCCGAAACCATAACCCCCATAATTGCTACTAGTAATGGTATTTTTATTTACATTTTTATATTTGATTGTTTAGATATATGGGTGTTGAGTATATATAGTTTTATTAATTTGATTAAATCGTATGTAATGATAGAGTAATGATGTTATTGGCACCATTTTGGATGTGAATAAAACATGTTTAGATATTCTTTATAGTATTTTTGGTTGTGAAGTATTGACTGTGACACAACTGTTGATTTTATTGCAGAAATTAACAGACTTTATCTAACATAACATTTTAGTTGTAGGTAAAGATACAGCTCAGTACAAGTATTTGTAGAGGCCGTCTGACTGTTATGACTCTAATAACATTTATCTATTTCTCCTTCAACCAGTTGACAACAGAAAATGAAGAGCTTCAGACAAGTCTTCAGACCTCAAAAGAGTGCCAAAATGAACTTTCCCAAGAACTGATTGATATGAAGGAAAAATATGCAGAACTTGCTGATGCTTTCCAGGAACTCCAGGAAGAAGTCAGAAAAGTTTGCAGAAATCGTCTCCCGAAAGCCAAGCGATGGACATTTGAGCATAGCACATCTTTAATCAACCCAGACTCATTGGCATCAGAACTCGAAAGCTCTGTTAATCCAGACAGTGATGGTTACATCTCTGATGAAAAGATGTAGGTTTTGAAACTTAATTAACTTATAATTTTTCTTTTACTTTACCATATATAGGTACACACACAGTTTTCTAATTCCAGTTTTAAAACTATTATAAGAATTCATCCATTTTTGTAATCAGTGCATCTTCATGAGAAATTTCTGCTTTTTATAGTACTCTAGATAATTTGCTATGTTCTGTGATAGGAAACTAAAACTCATTCAGACATGTGACCCTTTGGTTTGCAACTGTCACAAAGTATGTGGTATACTCATTTGTTTGATTGGCTGCTTTGTGTATACTTTCTCTAATTTCCCACCACAGGCATTTCATGATTTGTAGAATGTGACTGACAGGTCAGTATATAGAATTTACAAAGATATTAAAAACATGAGGAACTGGAAGTGGCTAGACTCATAAATTGACAAGAGTTTTGTTGGGAAGTTTGTCCTGAAGTTGCACAATGCATACTTCCCTCTTTTGGAGAGCAAGTTGAAATATGACAGTCAAGGAAAACAGGCTATGGCTTCACTTCAAAACACTGAAACATAAAGAAAAGGTTGAAAAGCCCGAAATCAGTGCAGCCACAAACTCCTAAGTAATATATATGTTTATTTAATTTTATCTGTTTAATTATTGATATTAAAGTATATTTACTGACAACTTATTTTTAGCCATGGATCTGATAAGCAAAATGTCACTAAAGGACAAAATTGTGACAGGCTTCAACAAAGAGGTCCAAAGCACTTATGTTTCTCCTTGAAGATACTTGCTGAAGAAGAGGCCAATCAACATCAACTTTCTAAAGCATTTTTTTGCCCAAAATATTTGATGTCATGGTCGCAGCATTGGTCAGAAGTATATGTGTAACCTAACTACAATATAATTGATACTCGAAACTGTCGGTACGTGATAAAAGCATCATCAGGTACAGACCATGGTCGTGAATAAATGAAATTTTTGTTAAATGCATAATTGTCTTTGTTTTTTTATTTCCTTCAATTTTCTAACTACAATGGTTACAAATGTTCTCAGAGGAGACAAGAAGGAATAGCCTGATATGGAGGTAAGAAAGTTCCATTTTACCAGTGACTTGCAAGTTTTTGAAGATGATCAGCATTGGGATTCACATTAGTTTCCTGTTTTTAAGTTGGGAAACTCTCCACATTAAGCAAAGATGATGAAGGCTGTCTTGAGCTGCTTTCATGGTCCCATTGTGTAAGGCTCATTTAATATCATGAGTGATATTATAGACTCCAGGTGAGGCAGGCTAAACATCCAAACATACAGTGACATTCAAACTATAAAGTATACTTTGAAAAGCATAGCAAAATCAGCTGTCTTTATGTTCCAAAAGGCTGAACTTCTACATGATTATGTTAATCTAACATTCCATAAAACACTAGACCAGCCTACAAGTCCTTGAAACTGGAACAAGAAGGGTACAGAAAGATCAAGCCAAATATGCCTTCAGAATAGGTCCATATGACGGTCAGTTCCCTAAGAGCTGTTGTGCAAAAGAACCTACAAAGTTTGTCAGAGTAAGTTACTAAAGAAGGAAAAGCAGCCAAAGTGACAACAGAAAAGGAAGTTTAATGTTTATAAATGTATAATAGTTAGAAATTGATCACTTTTTATGAAGTTGTGCTATTAACGTACACCTTAACCACCTGAACATGAAAGTGGTTACATTCAAAATTTCAACATCTTTATTGTCAGTTTGTGTCTGTAAACTTGGCATCAAAACATAGTTTATTATTAAACTTTTATATAAGTTTTAATTTCAAAAGGAAATATTTAAGCAAGTTCAATCGTAACTTCTCTGTGCCATGTGATGCCTCTCTGCTCTGAGTTTTCCTTCTTCACTCCAAGTTACCTATTTTAGATTTTCTTTCTACCCCTGTATGATCTTCTGAATATGACATAAATTACACTTTTATAGTACAGATATTGCTAAGCTATAATTTAAATTTATAGCTTTCAATCGTCATGCTTTACTGAAATATAAAGAAGAAAGTCAAACACACACATGCCACACCCTCATATCACATCGTGTCATTCAAAAATGTCAATTTTTTCTTATATTTACTGTCAAATTATATATATATATATATTTATAATTAGTAGAAAGAAAATATTTTAATTACTGAATTATCTACTAGTCTAGCTTGTTATGATAACAGGTTTTGTATTATTTGGTCTCAGTTTCATTGCTTGCTATTGTGTAGATCATTTCAACTAACAAACGAATAGCTTAGTTAGAAAGTCAGATAAATTATAGTAGTCTTAGGGCATTCTGTTTTTTGTGTATACAAGTAGGTATGAAAAAAAAACATTTTCTTCACAAAAAGTAGACTTAGCGGTTTTTCCTCCTTTAATGACAAAATTTCTTAGTCTACATGTAAGTACTAAATTTGTTTTTCTATTGTAGAAGTTTTTTTATTTATTGTTATAAAAGTAACTAAAGTGTGAAAATTAGAAATTTATTACATTAAAAAAGAAAACCTAAAATGAAAAAAAAAAATACTGTTTATTGCATACACACATTGTGAGGCAAAGAGTGATTGTAATATTAAAAACTAAAAGCAACTAAAATGAGATAGAATAAATACACAATAACTTTTCACAACATAACTAATAGTCCTTATGTATAGGGGAGGCTGGTAAGAATTTTAGGTGCAAGAAAAGCAAAACATGGATGTGCTCCATCACATGTCTACAACATTTTAAAGATACTGAAAAGTGTAGTAAATATAAAATTGTTGAAATTATTTGCTATGAACCTAATGTTAATAAACATAAAATAAGAGAAGCTATTTTAATGAAACAATACAAACCTATTAATATATATAATAAGCAATTTCTGTCTTCATGTCATGCTCGTTTTTTGGTGATGCTCAACAAGTTACATCCTTGCTTAGCAACAAAACTACCAACTGGTATTGTTGTTAGGCCAACTATGTTACTTATGTTGAATATACTTAATATACTTGTTGATTTGTTAGAAAGGTTTGTGTTTGTTTTTTTTTTCTTTATTTTTTGATAACTTTGGTAATATAACAGCAAAGTAGTTTAATTCACAAATGATTTAGATTTAGAATTGATATTTTTTCTTTCATGAGAAGGTTTATGGACTTGGGCCTAGGGTAAGTTGTGGCACACTATGTCTTTACTTTAGGCTCTCTTATTGCACCATGATAAATTAAATAGTATTTCATTTATATCTTTTCAGTTGTTTAATGACCATCTAAGTTTTTGACATTCAGTTGTAGACAAAAGCAAAGTAAAAGTTACCAAGGATTTCAATGAAGTAGTGTTTCAGCTAAGGCTTACGTTATGTTTATGTATTAGGCCTAATGCTTAAGTTAGACTACAAATAGACCTATTATTACTGATATTAGAGTCAGATAATATTTAGTTATATGTGTATACGTGTGAACGCATAGTATTTAAATTATGCAATCAAAGAAATATTAACAGTGGAATCTTTATTAAATAAAGGTACTTATGTTTTTCAATTCATATAATCTTCCACTCGTTTTAGTTATATCACGAAATCTATCCATCTACCTTCACTAATACTGATCTGCTATTATTACGTTTTGAATTGTAGTGTATGATTCCTTCTTCCTATAATTTTTGTTTGTTATTTACAGCAATCTTGATAGAGTTTTCTTAATATCCCTCATTTTTGACAGGCTATACATTAGTAATAAATAAAATACAAGGAGTTAGTTTATATTTATGTCTAGGTCAAGGTTATGGTCATAACCTCATCATTGGATGTATTTAACATATTGTGTTCAGCTATGTAAAGTACCTGATGATGCCACCTTAAAAGTGGTGAGGTGGTGAAATGTTGTTTCATTGTATGCTTTTTTCTATCCCGTTTTAGCTGTTTTTAATTTTTAAAATCTGTGGGATATATCCAGTATTTATAGAGATGGTAACTTAATCATTCATACTAGCAACTTGATCCTTTGTGGACGCCCTGTGAGAAGTTTTAATGCAATAAAAGCAATAAATCTAAATAAGCCTGAGATTGGAAAGGTCTGTTAGGTTTGGCTATAAGAATAAATATTGTGCAATTGTCTATTAAAATATACAGTCATTGTAGAAAGATAGAAAAAAAGGTAATTTACATTCATTTTGTTTTTTAAATTTTAAATTTTACCCTACATTGCTGATTTTGCTACAGTTAGTGGTAGGTTTGAGGAAAAACACGTAGAATATAAAGTTTACTGAAAAATTTCTGATATTCACTTATGAGGTTCTAGAGGTTTTGCAAATAAAATATGAAACTGTAAGAAAAAACAATATAGACTAACTCAATATAGGCTTTATAAAATTCATGTGAAGCTACTTTATTAAATAATCTTATTTTTTATGTACAACAGAGTTCTAATGTTTACTAAAAGCTTGCTAAGTTTTGTGAAGATACACTTGCTACATTCAGAGTTATAATATGTATAGTTTCATGGTAACATGGTGGTTACAAAGTCAATTAAAATGACCAAGACAGTAAATGTAGAGTTAACTTGTAACATATTCAGCAGTTGTTTGTGAAGGATACCAGTGGAATACATTTATGGGAAGACAGAATTAAAAAGAAATTATAAGGCAAGTTCTTGTACAGTAAAACTATAGTATGTTTCATTCTTAATCACTGAGAAGTTAGTTGCAGTTCACAGTTTAACTTCAAAACGGAAAACCTACCATCAAAAAAGAGAAAACCCCCACTCACACTTATCTCCCATGAAATGTTTCTATATTTGTAATTAGGTAGAGTGAATTGGATAAACCTAACATATTCCCATGATTAGTAACTCTTATGTAACAGACTGATATTTGGTTCTTATTAGGTAATAAAGAACAAGTTAATTCTTATTAGTGAATAATGATAATTTCAGTTTATTTGTGTTCCTTACTTACTAAATATAGTGCAATAAAGTCCTATGTGTGTGTGTTTATCTCCCATGAAATGTTTCTATATTTGTAATTTCCAGAAATCTTGTGCTAGTAGCACATTTGTGTGTCATTAGAAATTAAAGAAATTTATTTACAATTGGAACCAGGGTGATTAGTTACAAAATTTTAAAACTTACAAGAACAACAGAAATGTCTAGAATTGGGTATTTTCTTTCTGTTTTTTATCCACTTCAATTTTATTCCAAGCACAGGGCTCCACATAATGCTTGTTGGAAGCCATGTTTATGTAAGTTTAAACCAATCAAGTGGGTAAATAATGGATTCATCCTCCTAGTGGTTAAGTGTATTGTATTCTTCATAATTTTAAGATTTTATAGTTAAATTGTGTTTTTTTATTAGATAATCAAGGTTTGAAATAAACACTAGATAGGTTAGCAAAAGCTACTTAAGTAAATAGAATTTTTGACTAACTTATTTGTTTAACCAGTTGAAATTCAGAAAGACATTAACCATAGGACTAATAAAAACATTCAGGACTAATACATGAAGGGATATTTAGCAGTAATATTGAATTTTGTAAATGTAGTACAGGTTTTGTTTACTTGTTCAGCATTCCACTGGACATCCTCAGAATATATTGTTGTTGGTAGAAGACTGAAAAACATTGTTCATACTAGCATTTCTAAACACATTGTTATGTAAATTATATAGTTTTTACCCAGAAAGGCTGGTGAGCATGAAACATAACATAAATGTAGTTTAACAGTACTGGAAATATAGTGTATTGTTAGATTTTATTTAGTGAAAAAAAACTCTATTTAAACAGATTCACTTAACGCACTTGACAGGTGAAATTTAAAAGGGAATGTTTAAAAAATCTTTTGTTAAAAGCATGATTGCTAAATTTTAATTCAAAAGTTAAGAAACGTAACTTGGACTGAGAAGAAATTTTAACAGATTTTGTTCTTTTTTAAGAAATTGTCTACTTTTTCATTTTAAACAATAAAAAAACAGTCACATCTGTAAAGAAATCTACACCTCATGTTTAATTTTATATCAGTATTTTAGATTATAACTTAAGCCTTCATCATATAGAAACTTACTGATTCTATTAATTGTAAATTGAAATTGCTTGATCAGAGACTAAATACTTGTATACTGAAGATACATAAGATCTTTAAGTAATGGTAACTAGAACCTTGTAAAGTATTCACATTATATTGATAATTTGGAGGGGGTACCTTTCTTATGAGTAAAAGAACATTTTTCTAAAGTAATTTAAACATTTTTAGAGTGTGTAGGTTTCTAAACTTAGAAGAAAGTTAACAATTGTTTCATGGTATTCAACTATTTACAATTTACCAGGTATAAGCTTGATGTTTAGAGTTTTATGATTTTATTTAGTATAATAGTCTCTATCATACTGCTTAAACACTGATATGGATGTTTAAATACATACATGTGTATAATACTTTGAAGTTCCATGTGGCTGCATGTTAAAACACACAGTAACAAACGACTCAAGTTTTTATTATTTCAAACTAAACATTATGGTTGTAATAGATATACTTTACGAAGTTAGCAAAACATAGCTTGATATAGCCAGCCAGCTCTTTGTGATGAAATAGCTAATAATATTTGGACAAATATACCTAACTTTTAATCAACTAATCATAATTGGATAAATACCTTTATGTTTCTAGTTAGCTCGTTATATGTGGACAAACATATTTCTTTGATTCTGATTTCAGTTATGCTTAATAATAATAGTTTTTATAATTGTAATTATTTAATTGTACATTGTCACACTCTGAGTGATTTTATATTAGCTGATGATAAGAAAATAATAGATTTGAAAAATTATGGACTTACAGTTTAGTTTGTTCCTGTTAATAGTTTATTCTTTTGAAAAACTGGTTCTTTAAAACAAGATGTAAAAGTTCTAGCTTACATGATATCTGTGTATGTTGTTTTTTTTTGTACAGTACTTAAAAAATCATAAATGTTTCTCTATAGTCTTTAAAATATTATTGATACATCTTCTTTGCCAGGTCCCGTAATAAAAGAGTATTCCAGACAGTTAAATTAGCTGGAAAATCAAAGTTTGGCAGATCTCGACGACAAGACTCAGAACGGGCACCATACACCCCAGACATGAGTCCACACCTATGTCTACCCAAACATTCTCAGCCAGTGTCACTTACTGTATGGTCTAGAGCATCTTTTATGAATGATGGATCTCTATCTGATTCTGAATCTGCCTATGCAGACAGTTACCAGACAGATGATGATGGCCAGTTCTCGTATGTGCATTTGCATATATTTTTTTAACAAGAGTTACTATTCAGATGTTCAGACATTGAACTCAGTTTTTGTTTATTCTTTTAACAAGAGTTACTATTCAGATGTTCAGACATTGAACTCAGTTTTTGTTTATTCTTTTAACAAGAGTCACTATTCTGATGTTCAGACATTGAACTCAGTTTTTGTTTATTCTTTTAACAAGAGTCACTATTCTGATGTTCAGACATTGAACTCACTTTTTGTTTTCATATTAAATGGTATGAAGTTGAAATAATATAAAACATTTCTTTTATTACTTTACTTTGCAGTACTATAGAAAGGTTTAAAGATTTATTTTACCATTAATTATGTGACTATAAAACTCATCATTAGATGTTAAGCTTAAAAATACACTGTATCATCATTCTTCTGTGTAACTAATCACACTGATAAAGTTGTAAAATTACTAAAGCATTTATTGTACAACTATTACTGATCAATTTTTTATTAAAGTTTAAAAGAGTTATTATTATTTTTTTATCAAGACAGAGAAGGGTAGGGCCACTCTTTTGTCTTTTGCTGTAATATATTGTATCTTATTTACATCAAAAACAATGTTTACTGTTAACACTGTGTGAATGTTCAGAAAAAAATAATTGAACAGGTTATCAGTGAACTGTTTTAGATGTAAGAAAAATTATTAATTAAAGAAAAATGATACTAATTCATCTTAGATAGTGAATGCAGAGACAAAGACGTGTAATATTTTCATTTTTAACTATTCATCAGTTTACAGGAACCAGTGTAGAACAGTGGATGGTGTGGATACTTTGCTCTGAAAAGAAGAATTTTAACCACATTTCATCTGAAATCCCTCCTATATAGCATAAGCAAGCTATATGATGCTCACTCTTTCTCATCTGCTTCCCATTTTCTAGTAAAGACAAAGTATTATCTTGGTAATAATAATAAAAATAATAAAAGAACACAATATCGTGTATAGCAATTAGTTGAAAACCACAATAAAAGGAACAAATTGGAGAAACTAGTTTCGACACATTCGTGCATCCTCTTCAGTCTCACGTTGTCTTCTGAAAACAGCTAATAAATGAGAAGACAAATAATACACAGTCTTGTACAAAAATGAATGGGAATTTCTGTTTTTCATATCTCACTGAGTAGCAAACAGAACTCTGTTGGTGAGAGTATGGATGACAAAAGTCACTCACTAAAAAAGAAGTTAAAAATATTACTTTGAAAGGTCTGATAACATCAGAGTTGTAATTTTTCTTTCATATTGGCAGAGAAAAACAAAACCTGGCAAAAGCAAAAATATTGGAAATTTGGTGTGAAAATACATCAAAAGGCTCCCAAAGATATGGAATACCAATTTTGAGTGAATAAAAGTCATGAAAGTAAATTGTAATAGTTTGTAAAAGTTCAGATAACTTTGAATTTATCTGTGGTATTGAAAAAGACAAAAGTATTAAACATTACTTACAGGTTTTGCTCACATAAGTTCAAAATTATGTACAATGACAAGTTCTATGTTTTTTTGTAGCCCAAAATGCTGTCACACAGTCACAGACACACATGTATTTATATTAAAGATTTTTGCAATTTTTGTTTATGTAATTACAAATGCAGAACATTTTTTCATGTTTACGTTTGTCTATATTAAAATAATTTTGTGATTATCAGTGCTACCTACTTAGCTGTTTTGTTTTTTTTGTTGTTGTTAACTTTAGTTTTTTGAAGTGTTGCTCAATTTGCAATGGTTAAGGTTTATTAATGCTCTTGGACATCTAAGCCAAACTAGATTACATGAAAAGAAGCTATAAATAGTTAAATTATGTGTGTTTACTAGCAATTTTCTAACAAATTAAGATAAGAACATTTTAAGGTAGCATATACTTTTTACATAGTGTTACCTAAGTTTTTTTTTGTTTTTGTTTTTTTCAGAAAAAACATCTTGTATGAAAATATATTGAAATAGGTACAAAGACATATTCTGGCACATGTTGTGTAACATTACCACTTTGGCTAATTTGCATATTATAAAATAAAGAAATACAAAAGAAAAGTTCTGATAACTTCTACAAACATCACTGAATGCGACCAGACTTTGATGGGATGTGAAGAATTAGTCTGAGCTAAAGAAAACTCTGAAAGTTAATTCATAGTCAAATTACAGCACAAATGAGTATGCCCTAAGTATGACTCGTTACAGTGACTGCTACAGTGACTCGTTAATGGTCATTTAATAAAAACCAAACCTCTTATCATCTATAGTGTCTACTAAGATACACTAATAATGCACATTTATAGCATCAACAGATCTGAAGTTATTAGTTAAAAGCCACTATGAGAATGTCAGTTTTTGGATTTTGAGAAAAATGTGTTTAAAGACATTTAAATGGAAAACCTTTTATTTTTCCTACTTTTAAGGGTTTTTAGTTTAGCTAAGAATTTTTTTGCACTGGACATTGGAAGTAAATGGGGTTAAGGATGCAAAAAAAATAAATTGTGATATTTTTTGATGTTTAAAGCACATATGCTACTTTAAATAATTATTTTTTATATCATTATTTATTAAAGATTGGGCCAGACTAATAATAGAAAATCCATTAGTCGTTTGTATTTCAGAGCACAAATAGATGAACACTATAACAATGTTGCAGTATACAAATATAGCGCCTTTGGTTATCAGTTCAGTTTAAGTTTGAATTACTTGAAATACATGAAAAGTGAAACTGTGAGAACAAATATTATTTCACATAATCACTTGCACTGACATGTCACAAAGTATGTTTGGCATGTTTAAAAATGCATAATATGAAGTTTTGAACATTAAATCTAATTTTATCTTTGGTTATTCTGAAAACTATTTCTAGGGAATGGAATATCACAAAGTCATTGTTCTTTGGTAACTTCTAAAATTAAGTAGTAAATCTGTAATGCTAATTTATTTTTATCTGGTCAGTAAGAGCATTGCACATTTGTAGTTACAATTGTATGGTCAACTTGTTTCCTGAGAATTAAACATAAAGCTTTTTATACGTAAAATGATTGAATAATAAGTCAGAGGCATAGCTAGAGCCCCTAGTGGCACGGCAGTGTGTCTGTGGACTTACAAATGCTAGAAACCAGGTTTCAATACCCATGGTAGGCAGAGCACAGATAGCTCATTGTGTAGCTTTGTGCTTAACTACAAACAAGCATAGCTAAATATGAGGCTCTAGCCACCTCCCCTCCAGCATTTTAAGTAATTTATGAACTACAGCCAGATTTTGATGGCAATGTTGAATAAGAGAAAATCTAGCTAGCAAGACCAATTTCTCATACAGAACTTTGCATTAGTTTAGAATTTGATCTTTTGCTTCAAAATGCAATGAAGCTTCTATAATGTTGTGTTAATAAAAAGTCTTTCCAAAGCAAGCTTACTCGGGAGCCATTCCATTTTTATTTGATTTGCACTGTAAGAATGGTTTTCAACAAGTTGATAATGTCTAGTACAAACAACAATAAATGTTTTTCAGTTATTTCTTATGACTTTCACAAGTTGAGGTATGATCAGTCATATCATATCTAAGTCTGTCAATGAATGAATTATCTAAGATGTTAAATTGGTTACAATGAAAAGATCAAAGCCAGTCTTACTATTCCTTTTGCTTCGGAGTTTTCTTGTCCTTGTAAGATTATATTTTAGTGTTTCTGGACAACATCTTTTTAACTTCAACAGGAACTCCATCATGACTGCATCCAAAATGATTGTACTTCATTCAAAAATTGCATATTCTAGCTTTCTACTTGCAACTGATAGTAGGAAAAACATAATTTATAGACATTCTCTTATTGTATACTGACTAGTTTAGCACTGAAAACAAGACCTATGTAGATAAATTGCTTTGTAAAAGATGATGGACTTTCACCAAAGCCATGACACAAACAGTTGGAAGGACTCACTTTCAAATGAAAATTGTTCTAGAGGTAAAATGATAAGCAAAAAAAAAGCTGTATTGTGTGAAAATTTCTAGCATTGAATTATCATGGAGTGGCAGTTTATTTGCTTTCTGTCTTTTACTAAATATTGTGATGAAAGAAACAGCCACTGATATCTGTATTATCTACTGCAATTTGGGAATTAAGAAATACAAATTAATACTTGTTACAAACAAATCATTAAAAAAAATTTACTTTTGAAGTTGCTGTTACTTGTATGACATTTTTTTTACTAAATACAATATTTTTAGAATTTTACTAATATTGGTACAATTTTATGGTTTTTACTTTTGTGGTAAAAGCTGACATCATTGTATTTTCATGTTACAAAGATAATTTATGGTGCTTCATTGTTGTTTATTGTTTCACAAAATACATATATATATATCATAGCATTGTTATAAACTATAACAATGTGTAAGTTTCAGCAGCAACATATATATTACTGTTTGCAATGTATATTTTATTTTAGTACTAGGTCATTCTAATTTGATTATCTTTATTTGTGGGGGGGGGGGACTGCAATTCTGTCCTTGTTACTATATCATATTGAGCCTGTTGATATTTATACTACTAGGTCTATTAGCAGTTTGGGAAGGCCTGGAGCTCCTGGTTCAACTGACTTTGAGGCAGCTCTTCGTCGTATGAGTAGTGGAGTTGCAACAGGCACAGACACCTCGAGTGAAGATGAAACTGCACTCATCCGTTGTCATTCCCCAGACTCTCTAATGTCTGGTCCTCGATATGGAACTAATGCCTCTACTTTTCGCCGCTACCATATCCCAGAGAAGCTACAGATCATCAAACCTTTAGAAGGTATGTTTTATCTTGCAGACCTGAAGTTGTTTATATATTTCTTGATTATGTTCATAATATAATATGCTGAAAAGGCTGTCAGATCTTTTCAGAATCCTGAGCTGCTTTATGATACTGAGTCTTAAAACACAGTGACATTTGCTAAATCTTTCAAGTTACGCAGTGAATCTCAAATGTACTTGAGTATATAATTTTCAGCTGTACCTGTAAATATTTACTAAATTTTTTTTTTCTTGCTTTGCAAGATTGAACTATCTTTGACAACTTTTATTGGATTAATATTTCTTAGCAGTATTCTAGCTGGAAAAAATATTGCAATTTTAAAAATTAGAGTAAACATTGTTCAACTAAACAAAATTTTCATTCAATTTTACTATGTTATGTATCTTTTAACAAGAGCCAAATTATTAATACCAAAAGTGAAAAAAACATTTTTTTTTTAATTTACTAATTTTTACCACTGAAAGAAATTAGAAGAGACTACCTTCAAAGGATTTTTTGTTTCGCTTAAAATAATCATATCCTGATGTGTGAGGAATATGCCTTGTAACAGTGAGGTCAGAGGTAATGACACCATGCTCATATGAATATGAAACTTTAGGGATATGAAACTTTATCCCTTCTCATGAACGTTCAAAGATCAATCACCTGTAGGTTTACTAACTGTTAAGTAAGAAAAAAGTTTCATATTCGAAAATTAAAATTACACTATATTTGATTTCATCCTAATTTGTCTGCAGAAAAATGTTTCAAAGTAACGTTTTGTATATCATTAGCAAAAATAAGACACTGAATGCTGAAAGTTGTGCCTGTACTGAGGGATCTTGTGTGAATAAATCTCAAATTTTGTTCTAAAGTGCAGGTTTAACTTAAAAATTGTAGTTTGGTGAGCAACATGTATAATGCCGAAAGAGAATGAACTATGAGAGTAATAATCAATAAACTGGAGTTTATAATCTGCAAGTCATAATAATTCAATCATAATTTATTTTTTAAGAAGTATTATTAAATAAAAAGACTGTCTTAGCTCACATTTTTAATAAATTCAATAGATTCGTTAAAGAAACTTAGAAGTATTTTATTAGTCAGTGTGCTGATATTCAGTGAAGAATCTATTAGGTGTATAGTGTGCTGACATTGGTATTAGTAAACAGCAGTGTAATAAATTTACATACTGTGTGTATGCAGAACAACATTAAACTGAACTGTAAACAACCAGCAAACAGATACATAATGTCAATTGAGTCAGCACTCTTGTATCTGGTTGTCATTGTACACATCCATTGAGGTAATGGTTTCATACATTCTTCCAGTTTATCGATGCTGTTAATTGTTTTGTTTTCTCATTGTTTAATTTCTGATAAAGAAATTTAGCTGGCATAATATAAATCAAATTGATAAGACTTGTAGTGTCTTAATGGAACTGTAATTATGTCGACATATTGGTTTTCCCCTGTTCGTCCACCCTGATCATGTGGTCAGGATATCTCAAGATTGAATGGATGGGTTGTGACAACATATCTTTCAGGAATTATGTATAAAGTTTTAGACCTGGTTAACTTTAAAAGGTTATGGGTTAAGGTTAAAAAGTCACTTACATATAGAAAATATTCCCTAACTATGTAGACATTATATTTCACTACAGAATGAATGAATATTGACCAAACTTATAAACCAAGAATTATATGAATATACAGTATGTTATAACATTAATGGAAGCATAGGTGTTTTACAGACACACAGTTTAAGCTTCTTCTACCAACACCTGCAGTGCTCTTATTTAACGGTGAAAAAAAAAAACTAAACTAACCTATGTTGAAGGGAGGTCATATATCCTAGTTGTAATAAAAATCTTGAGAAATACTTTAATTAAGTGGCCATTTTCATTTTAATCTGGTGCATTAAAATGTGCGTGTAGTTAACACTTGAAATAAAGTAGCACCCAAAACAAACAAAACCTAATACAATCACAGGTGCACACAATAAATCTAATTTAAAACAATTTTAAAAGCTGCTTGTAATGTACCATAAAGCAGTGGTTCCCGACTTGGAGGATGTGTCCCTTTTGGTGTACCATTCATGACAGGGAGTATACCAACTTGTCTCCCTGTGAGGTTAGTGCATTTTTCTGACCCAAACCCTTGTGCATGCATGCATATACAGTGTGCACAAAGGGAGCTTTAGGCTTAAAATGGTTAAGAACCATTGCCATAAACACTGCATATCATTTAACGTGTCTCATTTGAAAAGCTATAACAAGTAGAGGAAAACAAATACTTATTCAGACATGCCTTAAGTTAGTACTGTTTTTAGATTTTTGCATGATAAAAGTGGATCATTATCAAAGATAAAATTGGCCCGTTTGTAACTGTACATAACACGAAGATTGTGAGGACGTGGTCAACAGAGTATGTATGGAAACTGTGTAAAAGTGATTACTACAAAAATAAAATAAAATTTGGTAAAGCATGTTATCAGAAAAAAATCAAAATATTGTTGACACTTACATCACTCTTGTGATATAAATATGGAAAACATTTTGTAAGACAAAATAAAAATATCAGTGATATTCACAGGACTCTTGGGATATATATATATATATGTATATATAGGACTAAAATTAACGTATTAGAACAAGCATTCATAAAATAGGAATAAAGTTGAACTTCGTTATTTGTATTGAATAAGTGCAATGTGTACAGTTATGAATAATCTGAATAACACAGCAAAATCTCTATTTTACTAGTTTTTAAATAGTTTCAACTCCTAAATTCTTTAATTTTGTTTCAACATCATTCAAGTTTTGAAAGACATTTGCCTGTAATGGATGATCTTGTACTGAACTTCAACAAAATGGCAGTGACAAGAAGGTTATTTTGAGTCTTTATTTTCTTAGAAACATATACCCTAGTGTGTTTCAGGCGATTTGTTTATTATGACTGTGATATTTGATCAGTAGTGAAAAACTAAATATTTACGTAGCACCGGGTTAGCTACACAAATATGCTTTATGTTCACATGAAATATATACTATTATTATGGAATAATCATATGAAGTGTTGTTATTTTATATATATCATTAATGTATCTATATAGAGTTAGGCAGTTAGTGGAATTTGCTGATTGATTAATTGTTTGGCTCATAATAGATTACATTCAACTCAATTATTCACGCATGACACATGGATAGTTGAAATAATCAAAAATAGTAATAATCATAAAAACTTATTTCATTTAGTTGATTATTTTCTTGACATTAATTGATTTAATTATGATTTTGAATAACCACTTATTCTACCTGATCCTAATAGATGTAATTGATGCTTGTGGTTAATTGATTAATGAATTTATTCACTCAGCTTTATGGTAATTTGAATTCTGTTTTTAGATATAATTATTTAGTAGAGTAATGAGTGAGGAAACATCATGTTACATTGAAGACAGTTGTGTTAATTAATAGATTAAAATACAAATTTTAAAGTAAAATTAAATTGTAAGTTAACTTGTTTTCATTTAGGTTCACAGACTCTCCACCATTGGCAACAACTTGCCACCCCTCACCTAGGAGGAATATTTGAAGATCGACCGGGGGTGCAGATTAAAGGGGAGCACCGTATGCCTGAACTAGAACCAGAAACCTTCACTTTAAGTGATCTGGAGGAAGATGAAGGTGGGATCCTCATGAAGGTTACATTTATATTTTATACACTATCTAATTTTTGTAAAAAAACAAAAAAAAGGATCCACGAAAAGGTTTTTACTGACATTGTATTATTGTATAACAAAGACTGTAAGATAAGAGCAACGTAATTTGTCAGTGTTGCATCTAGTTAATGGTAGGATATTAGGAAAAGTTGTCAATTTGATTGTTATTCAGCCCAGTATCCATATATCCAGTTTCAAAATTTCCATGAAAATAATAATTCTAACTGTTTAAAATTAAAACACTTAGTCATTATGTAACATTTTAGTGTTATTGGCAAAGAAATAAAAAAAAAAGTTCCAACTCATTTCCGTGCAGCTCCGAGGTGTCTTGTCTGTAAATGATGCATTTATGGATTTTATTAGAATTTTTTGTCCATCCCAATGTATTTGCTAAGAAACTGTCATCCCTTGAAAATATATGTATAATGATTCATATCTTGTTTTTCACATGCTTTTCATTTTCTGTTAGTGGTTTTGTTACAGTAGTGTTTCCTTGCTAAAAATTATTGAATAGAACAGATTATAATTTATCTTTGTTATTGTAAATTAAATAAAGTGGTTTAGCAGTAACTTGTGGTTCCTTGAGAGATTGACTATTCTGAGCTCCTGGAGTGGGGGATTAAATGAATCTCATATGAAGTTTAGAACACTTAGGTACAAACTACAGATCTGGGAGTTTTTTGACTAGTTTCTTTAGATGTTGTTTTTTGTTTCTTAAGCTCTTTTAATGTTAGATTGTACCTGTTTGAAAGATACAAAAATGTTATCCAATGACAGTACATCAGGTAATTTAGGTTGGAATTGACAGGTATAGTAGATGACAAATATATAATCTGGTAACTCAAAATCTTACTTATTGAATGATATTGTTACTATTATCATATTCAAGCAATGCACTTAGTAGTTTAGAAGTTAAAAAATACCACTGCAGTTGTATCTGTTTGTCTTCTGAAATCCAGCCTGTTTATCTAGACAACTTAACATAACAAATACTAACTCTTGTGTGTGTGTGCTATATACAGAAAAAGGTTTTAACTAATCAAATTTTAAAATGCTTCATTAATCTCAAATATTTTACTTTAAAAAGTATCTCGACTGTCAAGTCAAATATTGTATTTTGTAAATTCTAATGCTACATCTGCATCTTGTTTTGGTGCAATAGAACAACTTTTTCCAAGTTGTATTAACTGAGGGAAAAAATGTCTTCTTTTTTTCTTTTTTTTTATGAAAATAATTTTTAATATCAAAATATACTTACTGTTAAATTCCAATTCATTGACTATTTAATTTTTTTCCCATTTTATCATGTTTATAAACAGCTAGCTGAAAAGCTATAAACTTAATAAATCATTTCAACCATAATTCTGTTGTAAAAATAAAATTGTTACTAATTTAGTAATTGTAAAAATATACCATGTTAGGTTACATTTTATTTACTTACAGATGTGTGTGTAAGATACACCATCTCAATAATTTAGTGTAGCACTGCTTACTCGTAGAAAGTTTAAAATATTTTCTTTTTTTCTTTCTCTCTCTCTTTTTTTTTTTTTTTTTTTGGAACAAAGGGAAAAAAATCTGTTAGTTGAGTAATTACAAAACATAATTCCAGCAAAAGTTCATAAACCTGAATAGAAATACTTCTCTTAGACAGATAATCAGTAAAGGTTTAAACAGAGAAAATTTGGTAAGAAAAAGGATTTGTACTTCGTAATGTAACTAAAGTGTTTGTTCAATAGTTGTGTTAATTTCAATGTGAAAAAATACCATTTAGCAATTTTTCCAACATTTCTATTTATTGTAGATTTTTCCAATCCTGGGAAAAGTTTTGTCAACACCTGTTCTGTCTATACATATACAAATTCTACCGTTCTTCATCCTACTGATCAGACAAGAGTTACACCAAGGTAATTTTTCTCAACCTATTTTATTTGTTCCACATGATGTGTAATGTAGTGCTGTAACTTGTGGACTTATATTTTATCATAATTTGGTCTTTGGTAGCTGCTGTTTGCTGGTTGTTGTTTTTTGTGTATTTAATAATATTCTATTAATAAGATGGGTAAATGTTCATTGTTTGGTGTCCTACTGTAAATATTGTCTTCTTTAATGATCTGTTTTGTAGCAATTCTTATTCTATTAGAGCTGTTTTATGGACTTTATTAGTATTTTTTTTCTGTGTACTTGCTTGTTGTCTGATTAATCCTTGTTTTCTATATTGTAATTGTTTCTTTTGGATGTTATAAAGTTCTCTGTGTATCTAAACCTAACATTTTATTTGGTAGTTACCTTGGATTACAGTTGGCGGTGAGAGCCATGTCTCAGCCTCCCTCCACATTGAACAGCCCGGAACAACGGCATGAACAAGCAACTAGCACATACAGTACAATGTTAGGATTGGCCAAGGTGCTTAATGAAAGAGGAATCCATGCCATTGTACCTACTGCTTCAACCTCTCAGGAAAAGGTAAAACGTAAGACAGAAACAATTTTTAGTGCAGCTGAGAATAATTAAGTAGAGAATGCAACTTTTTTGAGACATTTTGTTTTTTAGGCAAACTTCAACAAAAAATGCTGTGAGAAAATATTCTCACAGGTTATGCTTACACTGTGGTTGGAAAAGTTAAGAAACATTAACCAAAGTGTTAAAATGTAACTTACAAGGTATAATTTCTGTGTTCAGATGGTTTAAGTAAACCAACAAACACATGCATAGGATTAACACTGCTTTGTGTAGTGTCTTGAAGCACAAGAATGTTTTTTTTTAATCTAGGAGGTCTCTCCAACTCCAACTCCTACCCCATCACCAGATGGTTCTCCACCTCCCTATGGCCTTGTTAAGATTCCAGACCTTTTAACTGGATCAGCTATAAGACGAAAACTACACCTCTTTCGTACTCCTCGTTCCCAGAAACAATGTAGTGTTTCTACAGCTGTGGCATCAGGAACTCTGACAACAGATGATAAAACATCAACTACAGTTGTAGGTTCATCAGGTAATCCTTCTATTGGTCTAATGGAGAAGCTGAGTCAGATTGGCTTGGAGAACATCATGACTACAACAGGTTGTGGGGTTGCTTCCTATCCACAGAGTTCTCGAAGATCCCGTCTACCTTCACCTTATGGCCTCAGCTCCATCCCAGACTCTTCTCCCCTCACTCTTACTGCCAATGTACAGCCAGAAAGTGAGATCCTAGAACGTCAGTCTGATAATAGCCAAGGAAGACTTGAACCCCTCAAAACTCCAGCAACAACAGTGTCTACTTTGTCTCATCCATGGGGATATGTTCCTCCCATGGTGTTTGGAAAAGGTGCAGGACTTACCCCTGCTATCTCTCCACCATTGTCCCGTATGCCTAACCCTTTATTACAGATTAACAGCTTGCGGCGGTTTGGTGTTGGAAATCAACATATTGGTACCTTGGAAACACTCCGCACACTCAGGAAAGGAGGCTTTACCTAGCTAATCACTGAAATATATTTCAGTGTTTATTTTTAGCTAGACGTTAGCAGTATTTTACTATTTTGGTGCTGCGATAGTAATCTTCTGAAATACAGCTAGATATAGTATTATCCAAGATTCCTATACTAATGTGTAGCTCACCGTTATTTTATTGTGTAATGTATGTGAGGTAATTTTTGTAGAGTAACACAAGGCTGTGTTAATTTTACATTATTTAATTACTTGGAAAACTAGATTAATAAATGTAAGTTATGCTATAAATAGTTAAAGCTATTGTTCTAATATCTTCTCATTAATCAAAACTGTCAGCAATGGTTAAGTTATAAATGTAAAATAAACTACTATAAACAGTGTAAACTTTTATTGTGCAAATATGGAGTTAATGCTAGACAGTAACTATTGAAGTTTAATATTTCAACATACATAAAATATAAGAGTAAGTGTAGTAAAGGTAGTTTTAGGTTTGTTGCATTTCTAAAGTCTAGTTGAAACTAATGAGTTTTACCTTTTTACTTTTAATATACATTTCAACTAGTCAAGGTTTTCCTCCTCATAAAGTGGTTGTGATCACACTTAAAGTTTGAGGGTTGAAAAAGAAAAATTACAAGACAGTAGACACTGTTGAAGTAGTACAGTCAGAAGGAAATTTATAAGTAGTGACCAGTGGTGATCCAGAAAATATGAATTGTAGGGAACAATATTTATGAGTGTAAGAATGTGCACAGAGCAGTCAGAATTTTATTTGTTTTCATGCTACTGACACCAATGTTTTCAGCCCAGCTGAGCAATGAGTGATACGTGGTTAAATAAAGGCAGCTAGGATCACATTGTTATTTCTTGTTACTGTACTGTTTTTTTTAGTACTTTTTGAGATTGTAGAATGTAAGATTCACTTGTCCTCTTTAGTTTTTGATGTAATGACCAACTCTTTACAAGTATTTTAAAGTTGTATGAGTTTTCTTGTTTTCTGTATTCACATTCGTTTTTATGATTGAGATTTTTCTGAAAGTCTTTAAAAGTAGATTACCTCAAAAAAAGGAATGAATTATTTGGCATTTGTGTTATCAGTCCAAGTAAGTTACTCTTTAGTGTTAGTTTAGCATTAAATAGAAACACAGTGGAAAATTTTAGTCTCTAAATTGTATTGGAATATAATCATAATATCTTTCTAAATGATTTGAGTTGTTACTGATTGTCCAGTTTAGTAGCAGATAAGTTCTGACATCTTGTCTTGATTTTTGTCTAATAATTGGCACAATTAACTTAAAATGAAAAGTGAAGAAAGCATCTGGAGTTTCTTAGCGTTATTGACCACAGGTCATAGTTTTTGATGCTTTCTTCACTTTTTCAAATATTTTTCAACAAATTGCAAAGTGTCAGAGAACCATTTATTGAATTGGACTGCTCACAGGCAAGTTTTTGTTTGAAAGTCAAGGAAAATAACTGCTGCTAAATAATTTTTAAGCAAACCATAAGCAGGGCTTAAAATTACAGTGTTTAGCCAGTGGTCATCAAAGGGCACTGATAATCCAGCATGATTCTGAATGTTAATATTAGTTATAAAAAATTATCTAAGTTATTAAAAAAAGTGTCTGTAAGCACAACATTTATGGATAAAACTTCATTACAGTAGTCAATTCATCCATGTCCAATAGCTTGTTGCTCAGCAGGATTCCCCAAAGTTTAAAATAATAAGGAATAAAAATAAAACACTATACGTGTTTTAGGTTTTATAAAAAAAATTTTGTCTTTTCATATCAGGAAATGTAATTATTATCATAAATGTAATGTATAGTTGACAGTATTTTAAGAAAAATATGAAAATATAAAATGTAACACTTTCTGGAAATTCATATGAGCTGACTAATTATACTCACTAAAGTCATGCAACTTTAAATCTTGTTTGCTAATTTAGCTTGCACTTTGGTGAGTAACTTGAAAAGAATCTTGCAAACAGTGCTCTAAAAAGTTAATTTTCAGCCAAGGTATGTTAAAAATTGTGTTGTCAACTATAGTGGACTAAACAGGCCATTATCACACAGTAATCATGGTATAACTGCAGGATAACTACTTTTATGTCACTTGCATAAAATAATTTAGTTCTGTCTTACAGTAAGCATAATGAAGTGTTATATACCTTCTGAATCAGATATAATATTTAGGAAAGAAAAAACACTTAGCTTCAGTTTTGATTAATATTTTCTTTTTCTGCAAAGTCTGGGTCAGGATTATTAAATTTGGTAAGTTTTAAAAAATTGAAGGTCAGTAAATTATGACTGAAGAATTTAAGGCTTTCAAGCATTCCCTTCAAAAGTGCAAGAAGTTTAGTGCTCCAGACTTGTTAACACAATCTTATTTTAAAGAAGATCTGATCAAGGTATTGCTTTTATTATGGAATGAAGTTTAACATGATACACAGAAGTATATTTAAGTGTTTTAGGTTACAGCATTCTTCATTTTGGGGAATGAAAGGGGGTGGCATCCCTTGCCTCTGGAGCCACAGTGGCACATGTCACAAAAAACCAAAACCAAGAAACTTAAATCCAAGTAGAATGAAACAAGCATTCTTCTTGGCAAACTCCTCATGCTGGGTTGAAAGGCAGTTGTGTCTTATGTAGATATTGAATAGTTACACACATATTGGTACAACCTGTTTTTCAATTTTCTACTGAATTTGTGGTCCTTATAAGGTGTTTTGGACTAAAGGCTTAAATTTCTATTTGTAGGAATTTCAAAATTTTGTAACGTTTAAACTGTAAGGAACTCATTTGAGGTGTTGCAGCATGAGCAGTTTGATGTATGGATTATTGGTTCAGCAATACATGGACTGTCATGGCTTGATTAGTCCTTCCCATCTTTCATCTAAACTAGGGAATAGATGATAGCTCATGCTGTTCATGACTGTGTTTGCTGAACCCCATGCGTTCTGATCGATCATATGTTTTCAAACTCATTTTACAGGAATTGGTTGAAATTGACATCAAAATTATGGTGAAAATCATGTGGTCGTGACGACATGCAACAAAAAAATCCAAAGAAACTGAACTTATTGTACATTATGTAACCGAGTTTAAAAATTTGAAATATCTTGAAATGATGTAACTGAAATAAAACCTCAAATAATGCTTCTGTTAGGATTTTTTCAAGGTATTTCAGGCATTTTTAAACACATTTATAGAATATTATTTGCACAGAGTTTCATACTGGAAACTTTCAGGTAACAACAATGTAAAAATTATTGTTTTGTGATTATAGTACGGATGGTGTTAATAAATGAACAGTGTGAGTTGTTGAACATTTAAGAGTCCTGCAAAAAAAAAAACCTGGAATTTTTATATGTGAGTGTGATCCAACTTGATTTAAAATGCTTCACAAGTTATAAACAATACGAATACACATGTGTGTAAAGATTTATCAAAAAACTCAGTTTGATTAATGTTCAAAAGTACAGAATGCCATAAAAGAAACTGTTCAAGCCACCAGGCTTTACTAGAAACATCTGCATGTTTTGGTGGGTCAAAGACCCACCATCATTAGATAGGAAACATCATTACTGGAATGTTGGTAAACAAGGAAAGCACATCTAAAGATGCAAGTTGATCTTTTGATGTCAAATTATCCTCCTTAATTTTCTTAATAAAATCCAAAAAAAGTTATTAGCAATAAGGGTGTGTGAGAGTTACCCAAACAAGCACACTTTCTAACAATAAATTTGGCAGTTAAATGTGAATGCAGTAAGTCCTGCAATAGAGTTTAATTTAGAAATAGAACAAATTAAAAACTTAAATTTCTTGATACTGTAATGGTAACTGTAGTTTAAAAAAAAAAAAAAAAATATTGTTGCCATGCTGCCACACAAGAGATCATGTCACCCTTAATCTCAAAATAATGTTAGCTTGTACCACATTTGTATACAGGGCCTTAAGTATTTGTTCATATGAATAAGATTTAATATCAGAATTGAATTCTTAAAAACATATTGCCATTGACAGAGTACTTAATAGTAACGTTAATGATAGAATTTATAATAAGTATTATAACAGTTTAAAAATTTCATGGTGTACTAGTCTTAAGGTTACTAAGGTTGATAGTAAGAATATTGTTCTGCCATAAGTTCAAATGATCTTCCTATACATGTTTAATGTGTTTAAGAAATAACTGTCTGGTAAAGTTTTCACTATGGGTGAAACCGCACTTCATGGCTAATCTTAAAGATAAAATCACATTAATAAATACGTGTGACATTTACAAAATTTCTTGTAACTGTGGTGTAATTTGTGTTGGCCAAACATTTAGAAATTTAGAATTTGAATAAAAAGAACATAACTCAGTTATGGAAGAACAAAAAATAAATGAATCAGCTTTAGCAGAACACATAACTAACAGTCCTTTTTCCCACAGTGTTTGAATAATATTAAATTGATTAAATATACCATTAACAAATATGAACTAAATATAATAGGATCATTAGAAATGTTTACAAATATGAATTTAACTTTAAAAAGAAATGTGGTTCCAAGGATTGTAAAATTCATTTCTGGGAATGATTTTTTGATGAAAGATAATATTTGCCAGCTCCGTGTATGTGTGTGTGTTCAATATATTTGCATTATGCAAAATAGTAAGATACAAATATCAAAATGGTATTTTTTAATGGTGTTTCTGTGACCCATTGAAACATGTACATATTTTCTTTAAGGCCCTGGTGCTTTCAACAGTTTTTTTTAAAGTACTGTGGACTTTTAAACATTGTTGAAACTTAATTTGTTGTTGTTTTTTCATAAATAATGCCTCGTGAGAAAGAAAAAGTTTCCGGTTGACACGTACAAGTGACTGCTCTGTGCTCTGTATTCAGTTGATAAACAGAAATAAAGTTTTTTCAACTGAATTTATGAGATTAGTTTCAATGAACAGAATGCAACATGTTCAGCTTTGAATATACAAAAGATGCTCCTGATGAAGAAACATTAATTACTCTTTGAAAATGGTAAAGCTAAAGCTTTGTCTTTCATAAAAACATTATTCTTTCAAAATGTTCATGCTTTGGGCTTGTTTTTTTTCGGGGGGGATTTCAAATAAAAATTAATTATCATTCATTTTTTAAGGTCAGTATTTCAGAGAAATATTAGTAACAGAATAATTATAATATGTATCAATTGACTTAGATATTAAAGGTATTAGTAGACTTAATTTGACATGGGTTTAGATGAAAAAGAGAACAAAATTATTATATATACTATACTACACACAACAGGGTGGTCTATAAATTCACATGTACTGATCATTTAGCAAATGGTACCAATGAAACAGGAATATCATTTTGGGTTAAATGAACATCTGAAATCTCCTTGTTATGTCTATCAAACACTTGACTAATACTAGACAAAGAAAATTTGCATATGACATAAATCATATATTAAAAGATGAAATGTTAATGATTAAAAAGAAAAATGCCTGTTTTTACATATGTTTTTATGTGTAAACTGAGTCATTTCAACCAATACTGTATTATTTATTGTTTTTGTGGGAAAATATACACCAAGTCTAAAATAGAATTTCTTAACTACTTTGTTACTTCATGCTAACAGATAAAACCCACTGTTTACTGTTTGTTCAGTTGTATATGAGGCTATATGATACCCCACTACTATCTCAATTAAGATGTTCCAGTGAATCAATTATCAAATTTCTACAGAGTAAAGATTGCTGATACTTAAAATCCTCTGGATACAATTTTTCCTGAAAATACAGAAAAGTTAGTACACTCTTTATTGCTTACTTTCATCCTCGAATGTTGTAAGCAGCAATTACTAAACAAAACTTTGTTTTTTGTGAGGTCTCAGTGGAGAAAAACTTCTGAGCAGTTGTTTCTGTTTTATGAGATTCTTACACTTAGCCTCGTGGGTCTCGATGCTCATCACATTTCTTGAGGTGAACCTGTGGGTAAGCTCCACTTGGCTATTCGAAAAAAGTTTTTTGGACTTACCTAGCTTGATGTTAACTTGGTTTTCATTTCCCCTCTTCAAGAAGGTGAACTTGATAAAAGTTATAGAGAAAAAAAAAACACTTGCACAAAGATTGAGTGATTATTTGTTTTTCTGGTGAGTAAAAGTCCAAAGAAAGGCCCAGAACCCAAGTTCATAATTGCAAAACATCCTTTATCAGGTTAGAAAGCCCCCAGCTGTGATGCTAGCCCACCAAAGTATTTTTCCCACATTCTTCCACTTGGGATACAGAAAAGCTGGCATGAAGAAAAGGACTCTTATCTAGTAGGAGCACTGATGTTATAACCTAACATGCAAGACTCAACTGATAATCTGGAAGATGTGAGATTCCTCAGGGAGCCATCTTTGCTGAACTGATATTGTTCAGTTCTCAGATGCATGTAGGCATCTCTTCTTATCTTTTTTAAATATTTCTGGAAAGCCCTCATGCATGCACTGGAGGCCCAAATCTTCACTTCGAATTCCTCCAAGTGAGTGCAGAAAAAAAACAACCTTTAGATTTAAGGATGTACTTGATGTTAAAAATGAAGGCAAACTTCGTCCATAATGCTGCAAAAGTGATGCAGTTGTACATAGCATGACATACAGTTTTGACAAAGGGGTAGTTATTTACTTTAGTGATTTGAAATTTCTTTAACCTTGCCTTTACAGGGAAAGCTTCATAGGTAATCTTCAAGGCTAGGTGGTGTCTAGATGCTTCAAAACACCTGGAGGTTACCCTATCCCATCCTTTATTCCAGTTTTACATTAGGATAGCTGATTTGTGTTTTAGGCAAATATTCTGGCTGCATTAAGCTACATATTTCATTTGTTTCCATGTTGGCTAGTTTTGTGCTATCATTGTCTTTTACTACCTTGATTGTGTTTTTTAAATGAAATTTTAGGTAATTGCAGATCATTACTGCATTGTTATGTAATTTTAAAGTATTCTCCTAGTAGGTAGATTGTGAAGTAGGCACTTGTGTTGTCCGGGTTTAGTAGGACACGCGTGAAATGTGTTCAGATCACTGTTAGGTATTTTCGAAAATCTTGTATACCTAGACCCTTTTTCAGGGATGAAATTTATTACTTCACTTTTTAGAAGTTAGAAGGGTCTATTTTATCAGATGTAAACTATACAGTCTTTTGTTAATGAAATTAAAATTTACAGCTGTTGGGAGGGTAAACCTGTCCACTGTAAACTAACTTTGTTAGTGCTATTTGTTTTATGCCTTGTGTTTTTGATAATAGGAAGATCTTTCTCTCTCCTTAAGTTTTTTTCCCATTTGTTTGTATTGACCATTTTGGGGAATTATGGATTTTTATAGTATTCTACTGCAATTTAGGTTATTTCATGAGTTTGAGTATCCAATACCATACTGTTGTTTGTATGGGATCTCCAATTTCTGTGAACTGTTAAATGTTTGTGCAACTATCTTGATTTTGTTGCTTTCAAATTTTTGGTTTTGATCTAATTGTCTGTGCTATTTCTGTGAATTTGTGATCATTTTTAGTTGATCTGGCTTTGCAATCCATGTTCTTTCTAGAAAGTCCTTTTGTTTTTTCTATCTTTTCTTGTTCTTTACCTTTTAATATGAAAGTATTTTATATATTTAGGCCTTCCCAACACTCCACAGTGGTGGTTTATGAAGAGCTTAAGGTAACTAGTTGATTACTGTTTTCAAGGAGAGAGAGAGAGAGAGAAGAATTAAGTTTCCAGTGTCTCTGACCCTGGTCTATTCTGTTTGGTGGTCTTGTAAAAATAAGCAGAAGTGGTCACTAATATGTTCTGAGGTGCTCACCAGTCTTATCCAGGTTTTTTCCACCAACTGCAAGACATTCATGGTGGTGTAGAACCTGTCCAGTCTGACCCCCCACCCCATAACAGTGTGTCATTCCAAACATCAATCAAGTCAAAACTGTCAGTTACACATTCGAGCCAGCTTGCTGTTTCATCTCTGTTTATACTGCCTTAATTTTATCTAGAACACTTGAATTATCCAAATATAGTATGTTGTTATCAGGGGCATAAATGTTTACTATTCTAATTTTTATTTCATTTATATCTAACAAGCATAGTTGTTCATACTCATTGTGTCTGAAGGACTCAGTTTTTTCTGTTAATTTTGGATGTATAATTATGCTTGTTCCTGCTTTATGGGGGTTAATATAAGTTTCAGTGAAAAATGTAAATGAATTTTTTTCAAAGGCTTTAATGTCTTCATGGTTATTCAAATGGGATTCCTGCAAAAGTAGGATATCTATGTTATGTTTATTAATATATTATTTTACAAAATCTTGTTCACCTCTTTTAAAATCTTTATTATTTAAGATCAGTATATTAAGTGTCATTTAGACAGCAAGTTTGATCAAATGTGCAATTTTAAAATTAAAGTACAGAAGTAATGAGAACTTATTTTCTAGGATACTAAATCAAACCTTTGGGTCATCATCAGGATGACACCCCTTCACCTCTCGGATCTTTTTCTTAAAGCCACCTTAACTCTTTCACGCCTTATTGTTGTTTTCCTCTTTTGAAGAGAATTCACTTAAATCCAAATCTTTCTCTAGGATTTCTTCTTTCTCATTTTCTGAAATGTAATTGTCTTTTTTTATTGTGTTTCTTTCAGTTGTTTAGCTACTATTCATTTTTTGGGTTCTAAGTTGCTGTTTTTGGCTCTCTTTTTTTTTTTTCCATCGATTCAACTTTAGTTGCTACTTTTGGTTCTTCAATGTTTTCTGCTTCTGTTGTGGTTTTTTCTTCATTTGATACTTGTCTTTCTTGCCTCCCATCTTCAATATTTCCACACAGATGATGCCTTTCATATCTCTTATGGTCTATTTAATCATCAAATTTCCTGTTATTCTGTATCTAACTGTCTGTGTGCCATTATTCTTTAATCAGAGTAACGTACTGTATTGAAAGTATTTAGTAGAACACACTATAATAAGAAAACTCCTTGGCACAAAATTAATACTGTACTGAACAGGAGATGTAGCATAACACAAATATAAAACTAAAACAATCGAAGTTGAATTAATTATGTTACTAAATATTTATGTGTAATGGATTAAAAATCTTTAGAACATAAACTCCTAACAGTTGTTTTACTACACCTTAACAAATTTATAACAATGAAATTGTTGATATATCATTCATAAAAATTGGGTTTTTCATTATATAAAAGTATATAGCAGCAATTATGTTTTAGGCATTCAGACTATCTACTATAGTCTGACATTTGTTAATTTAAATTATTGTGAAAGCTCATTAATATCAGCTTCATCCCAGTGGTTGTAATGTATAAGACAAGGTGTCAATGTTGAATTGTAACTGCCCCAGTTGTCAATTACATATAAGCTCAGAATTCTTTCCTGCAGGTTGATTCAATTTAGATGTTTCCTTACGAACTTATTATTACCTTCAAACCTATCTTTCTTCTAACAGAAATATTAACTCCATTATGACATATGACAAATCCAAAGAGTTGAGCCTTTTTTTAAAAATCTTTATGATTTTTGAAGACTTCCAGTTTTCCACTTTATCTGACATAAGAATTAGTTTTGTTACGGAGCATCAAGGAACCAGTTAGCTCATTAAATATCTAAAATATGAAGCCTTTGTATTTTTAGTGACAATTTGGGGTACTTTATTTCTTTGGCAGAATAAAAGCAAAAAACTAAACACTTTTTATGGTATATAAAAATTAATGTAAAGGATGGTTAAAATATCAGTGCAAGTAACATCAAAAATTGTTTAAAACACATAAGGTTGGAATAATTTCATTAAAACCAAATAGTTAAAAGTAAAATGCCAAAAGTTCCAACATAGTCTAGTATCTTCATAATTCTTTTAACCATTTAGTTTTAATCTTTTTGTGTAGTATGATACTGTAAATATTTTTTTATTGATATCTTAACATCTAATCATGTCATAAGAATTCAATTTGCTACAGAAAGGTAAATTATTTATAATGTATCAGTAATTTCAGTATCTCATTGAATTTCAAAAGGGTTAGAGCCAGCTATAGCCTAGTGGTTAGTGTGCTCAAATTGTGAATATTCTTGGTTTGTAACCCATTGATCCACACTTTGTAATGTTACTTGTTAAAACTTCAACTGGTACTTATTATTTCAACAGTTTCATCAAGAAGTTATATTCATATGATAACTTTTCTGCCCATTACAAACCAGGATTCTCTCATAGTTCAATAATATGGTATGATTATTATAGAACTTATAGTAATTGTTGTTTACATGTAAATCATTTTAACTAAAGCTTTCTGTTTTTGTAAATGAAGAGTAATTGAACTATTAGTACTAAGCATGCTTCGGTATTTTGATGGTTTACTAGTGCATGAGCTCTGCTCAATTGAGAAAACAAATAGGACACAAGGTTCACATTGTACACAATTGTATTTATCTCTACTTTTCAAATACACTTTCATTTTATTAGCAATTCTTCAAATTGTCAACAATAAACTCGACAAAATTTATATTTCAAAGTGTGAAGGTTTTTTTTAACAAAAAGAAAAAAAAACAGACAAGCATACAATTATGACAAATTTGTACAACAAAACCTAAATGTCCTTAGAAATAAAACCAACAATGTTCTTTTACCCAAACTCAGAGTGGACATACTACAACTTGTATAATATAACCTAAATGTCCTCGGAAATAAAACCAACAATGTTCTTTTACCCAAATTCAGAGTGGACATATTACAACTTGTACAACATAACCTAAATGTCCTTTGAAATAAAACCAAAATGTTCTTTCACTCAAACTTGGAGTGGACATATTACAACTTGTACAACATAACCTAAATGTCCTTGGAAATAAAGCCAACAATATTCTTTCACCAAAACTCCGAGTGGATATGGTACAACTGACAAACAGTACAATTATATTTTTTTAAAAAAACTATAAAAAGAAAAATAGTAAAAATATCAGTCTTACTTAAAGCAGGTCTTCTACTAAAAAGTTTATTAAACAAATGAAAAACACAAAACTATAATAAAATGACTGAGAGACACTTAGTAGACCTCTGGTGGTTATGTCATTGAGAGTGAGCATTTTTTTCAAATAGTTTCTCAATTGGAAATTCCAGAAGATCTTGTCTCCTGAATTGATCTGTTTTTCAGTAATTGTAACTGAGTACCCTCAAATTCTATTAGTTTTCCTAGGATTTACTAGTTAAAAAGTTAACCACTTTCATTGACCCCACTACCTTCACAAACTATACAGTGCACACTTGATAAGTACTTATTTAATATGATCATATAATTTATTAGTTCACTGTATATAGTAAATATCCTTGAGAATCCTGCAATTTATCCAATCGATACATTTGAAGCCTTTAACTGTAATATGTACTACAGCCATGGATTGCAATTAGTTAATCTGTCATTAAAGAATATTTAATAAAAGAACAAATTGAAATATGTTGAAAAGTAATAAATGTCTGCATTTCATTAACCCTTTCACTGTGGCTGGGACATACATTTCCCAGTGCTCACACCGAGACTAACACAAATGATTCCCATCGTCATTCAAAATTGTCGCATGTGATGTATAGGAGTAAAATGAGTTGGAAAGTATTTATTGTCATCCCACATAATGTTGATATATGGTTTCCCTCAATGTTTTACACTCTGCCCTTTAGTAACCAACAAGATGCCTAAGCGGAATGTATGACAACTGTGTGCCTTCATCACTAGAGCAGCAAGTAGTAACCCTAATCACTATATTAATATGTTTGATGCACTTGACTTAAATTGCTTAGCAGACAGTGAAAGTGAGTCATGTGGTGTTCAAATGCATGATGATAAAGAGGCAATGAAACAAGAGGATGCTAGATCTCCATCTAGTGATGATAGTTAAGATAATGAACCTGGACCCAGCAGAGGAAGGTAACAGCATCGACAAAGGGAAACATTTTTCCCAGTCGCAGTGTGAGGGGGTGGGAGCACTGGGAAATATACATCCCAGCTGCAGTGAATGGGTTAAAGAATAATCATACTATATATATGATTATTTGACACAAGAAATACTGGAATAAAGAAGAGAAATTACAAATGTTAACCAATTTTAGGTGTTTGACCTTATTATTTCCATAAAATAATATCTGTATATATCAAAATCATTTCACTGTTATGGATTATTCTGTCTTAATAGTTTTACAAACCTCAATTCTCTGCATATCCATTGTTCACGCCATGCAGTACTTCTTTTTATTTTCAACATTTTGTGGGAAATTTTTTTATTTTGAAACAACAGAAAAGAAGTATTTCTTTAAAATCTGTCAACATTATTGAAAGTTATCACATAATGAGATTAAATAAATACTTTTACTAAAAACAACACATCCACTGAAAAAAACAAAATTCTTTGCTACCTTTTGAAAATGTTAAGTGTACCCTACTGTCCTGTGATATTAGAAATAAAAGTAAAGGTTGAGGATGGGTACTATTTTAAATCTGTGATTGTTTGCCTAATAAAATATTACATCTCAAATGCTAGAAGTCTCAGTTCACATTTCGTTGTTTATTAATGACAGAATCTGGGCTATGCCAATTGGCCTTTAAAGATTCCACTTTTACTAACACATAATGCGAGACAGCATTTGAGATGCAATGCTTAGTCACGTAACACATTTATACCCAATAAGCATGGTCACAAAATGTAATTCTTCTTAGTTTTTTGCATTTTTTAGATAAATTCTTAACACAAAAGGATGGTGTACTGTCCTTGACATGTACATACTTAAGTACTCAACTCAGCACTTCTTACCAGAAAAACAATAGGCAATAAAAGTATTCCCAACTCTACAAGTTGAATGGCATAGCTCAAAAATACTACCAAATTTCATCGCTAATAAACAATGAGATATAAACTGAAAATTGAAGCATTCATGATGTGGTAGCTTATTTGGCTAAAGCTAATCAACAAGTGTGTATTATGCTCAGCCTGAGATTTCACTTCTTCAGGTGCATTTATATTTTAACACATTTACTGAATAATATTTTTATAGTGCCTTCTAAAAATATATAATTCCTTATGCAACACATTTTTTAACAAGAAGGAAAATAATTACATAAAACATTGGTCCAAAAATCAAACTAATAACAACCTTATACCTTTGCAACTCTAAATAAAACCAATATAACTATCAGCAATTTATGGAGAATTCCAATATAAGTACAGAGTCAATAAGAGGAAAACAGAAATTTGCCTACTTTATGAAGAACAATGCTCTTTTAGACTTTCTTTCACATTTACTACAATAATATATTTCACAGTTGAAAATACTCAGTTAATTCAGTACATTGCCATACGAAAATACATTCTTTACTACGTTATATTGGTAGCTTGTGTTCCTACCCAACTACATATATAGATTATTTCACTCTTGAACATATCACGATGTTATATTACAAAACGTTTGTAATATAATAACTACATTTCTCCAAAATCCTACCATAGTATTAAAAAAATATTTTATTCACAAAACAATAAAATTAAACTACTACACATCCAAACAGATCATAATACCATACAAAAGTCACATTTTGACTAATTTATTTTACTCATTTGGCTTGTTTCCTCCATTATCGAGTTTTTCTCTATCTTTAAGGCCATTCTTATGCTATTTCATTATTTAAAAATACAAACAAAAAAAAAACATCTTTTTCACCTGGTAAACTAGTTTTAAGTAAATCATTCAAACATTTTTGAATGAAGGCACTTAGCTGAATTAAAGTGATCAGGTCCTTATAGGTATTAACTCACAGTAGCTATATACTGTAGATATTTTTATTAATAAATTGATGTAATTTCTTTACAGTTATTCTCAGCAAAGTATTCTTCTAATTGTCCTTAAAAACAGATACCTGCTTCGACCATAACATAATACTGTAAGCAGGTTACATCCCATGTAATATCCTCAGCACTCCAGAAAAGTTAACAACTTATCCATTTAACTAAAAAGTAGATTGTTGTATTCTGTTTATTCTTGTGTTGTGTGTGTATATTGTCAAAAAATCTCTCCAAAACAAAAAATTCAAATTATATCACAATCCTTATTACATAAAGATCAGTGTTCTGTACATTAATATACCCTAGTTTACAGCTTTTACAGTAAGGAAGATTTGTTTTGGAACAGGTACAGCGTTTCAATCACTAGTGTGATCATTCTCAAGTACACAAGACTGATCGCATGAGTGATTGATGGTACCTATTCTAAAACAAATCTTCCTTACTGTAAAAGCTGTAACTAGTAATAAAATAATACTTAATCAGTAAGTAAACTCAAAATGAAGCTATTAATTAGTATACCCTGTATGTAATAATAAAATCTACCATATTTCAAAATGCAATTGAACACCCTGTTTTATTAGCTTCTGTGAAGATATGACTGTCACTTTTGACGCACATTCTATCACAGTAATTTCTGTTTTGTCAAGATAAGTCACCACAGCAACTCATACAATGTGAATAAAAAGAAAAACCTAACATTTTATTTTTCTTTATTCAGACAGCAAAGGGAAGGTCCAACTTCCTAAAGCATTTGGAATATTACATTTCTTTAATAGTATAATAATGTCCATTCTAAAAATATAGTAATTATCTGCCTAACTAAGCTATTAATTAGTATACCCTGTATGTAATAATAAAATCTACCATATTTCAAAATGCAATTTAACACCCTGTTTTATTAGCTTCTGTGAAGATATGACTGTCACTTTTGACACACATTCTATCACAGTAATTTCTGTTTTGTCAAGATAAGTCACCACAGCAACTCATACAATGTGAATAAAAAGAAAAACCTAACATTTTATTTTTCTTTATTCAGACAGCAAAGGGAAGGTCCAACTTCCTAAAGCATTTGGAATATTACATTTCTTTAATAGTATAATAATGTCCATTCTAAAAATACAGTAACTATCTGCCTAACTATCGTGCAGATTTTGATACCCTGTTTACTTCACTTTCACACACATATTAATAATCTGTTTATCCCAGTTACACATTTGGTTACAATTTTCTGTTGAGCTCTAATATTCTGTTTACTTCACTTACAAGCAGCAATATTTTGTTGCTTCCTGTTTCAAGTAAACAATATTACCCCTTCTTATACATAGTCTCATTTTTCTTCATCACAGGTACATGATAATTCTTTCAGCTCAGAGCTTCTCTGTTACTTGTATTCATTTACCAAATGTATACAACAAACCTTCATGTTTAGAGCTACTCTGTAGCCCTTACTTCTTCATCACAAATGCACAAGAACCTTTTAAGCCTACAGCTTCTCTACTGTTCATATTCCTTCATATGTACACCAAAAACTATCTTTAGAGCAACTATGTATCTTAGTGTTTCTTCATAAGATGCATATAATGCTCCTTCAAGTTTAGAACTTCTCTGAAGTTTATATTTCTTCATCCCATGCATACAAAAATAATTCGGTTAATTTTATCTGAAGCTTCACAGTTCTTTATGAAATGTTCACAACAATTCATAAAGTTTTAAAATCTTCTGATTTCATATTTCTTCATCATACATAGACAACAACCCTTCAAGATTAGTTTCTTTCTAACTTTATGTACACAAGGATCCTTCAGGTTTTAAGCTTCTCTATAATGTCATTTCTTCATTACAAATACATTAAAATCCTTAGAACTGAGTTTATCTGTAACCTCATAATTCTTCAAGTTTAGAGCTACTCTGTAGCCTGCCACATGTACACAGCAATCTTTGTTTAAAACTTTTCTGTACATTTTCATAACATATATACAACAATCTCACACTTCAGGGCTTCTTTTCTTCAACATGTATAAAATAATCATTGCAGTTTAGAACCTTCCTGTAGTTTGATTTTTCTTTTTCACATTTACACGAAGAACCTTCTCTGCTGAATTACTTTTCTTTAAGACATTTAAGAAATAATTTTATTATATTTCTCTGTAGGATCACTTTTTTAATAAAAACCTTTTTTTAGAATAATTCTTCCAACTTAGCCACTAGAGTCTGACCTTCATTTATATTACTTAAACAAGAATTATTTAATCCTAATATATGACTGTACCCCACCTTTTCTAATCACGTAAACAAAGAAATTTGTTTCTATGCTCAAACCTTCTTTATGTGGTCAGACATTCTTTCACATCACCTACTGAACACTTCATCTCAGTCATATTTTGTCTACAGCTTCAACTTCCTTTAAAATACATGCACTAAAATGAAAGCTGAATTTCACTTTAGCCTCCTGCAGTGAATTTAAAATGACCATATCTGTTTAAGTCTAAGAGATTCTCTATAGCATCACCTATTTTAAAAACACACAAAATCTATCACCATTTAATTTCTGTGCATCTAGACCTTTTACAACATTTACTCAAACCTTCAAGTTTCTATTTCATCTGTAGTTTCACTTGCTTTAAAAATGAAAGGGTTTTAATTAAGTTTTTTTTTTATGTTAAACTTGCTTCAGAAAATCTACACAAAAGTTCTGTAAATTTAGTGTTTTGACTTATCCATTTTTCATTTGGGTCTTTATCTTCAAATTTGGAGATTTTCTACAGTTCCACCTTTATATTTTTTCTTCAATGAAGCACATAATGATCTTCAAATTAGCATTTCTTTGAACTCTCACTTTTGTGACAGTTATTCTGGATAACTATTTGACTTCACCGTTTATTTACTTCACTTACTGAACAATTACAAAATTCTAAGGTTTCTCTGTAGTACCACATCGCTTTAGGCAAAGACTTATTGAAGTAAACAGTTTCTCTGAGCTTTTACATTTCTTATAATACAGATGGATATCAATTCTTGGTATTTAGAGCCTTTATGTAGCCCTAACTCATGTCCTACTAGATGTGTTGAAACTGAAACTGTACATGTATGTAACTTTCAAAATTCTTCAAACAAATTATTTATTTTAAAAAAATGCCACATTCATTCTTCAAAGTATATTCAAGAGCACATTAATCACATGTTTTTGAAATCTTCCTGGGCCTTCAAATTGGCTATGGTCTTCTTGATACGTAGAGCTGTTAGTCGTGCAGCAGGGTTATGGTACCAGCATTCTTTCATAATCCTAGACATAACTCGCAAAGCCTGACAAAAGAAAAACATTAATGTTATTAATAATTATCCTAAGATCCCAAAACACTGATAATGCAAAAAAATAATTAAGATGACAGAAATGGTACATGGATTTGAATTTTTCGAAACATGTGAAACTGATGAGCTATAAGCTAACTGATACCTCTGCAGTTCAAGTTATCTAGAAATATTAATATTAGTAAAAATATTTCTCAAAAGCTAAAACAAAAAGTGGTTTTCTCTCTTCTCTCACTTTGATCAACATATTTTTTTTATGAAATAATGTAACTTCTCACCCATATGAAAACCACCAAGTCATGACAGCATCAAAAGTATAGACAGAATTAACATACACACAATCTCATACTATTTCATATGTAAATAAGTTGATGTTTCACATAAACTTGAATTATCCATCTGTTTTCAGGTTTGGTCAATTTGACTGACCTCGTAACCACCTGTAACTGTGAAACTATACATAAATCTGAATAAACATTACAAATTTACATGTTTGCAGTACACAAAAAATCAGGTTTTTAATAAATTATTTTTACTAAAGCTTTGTCTATGAACTTACAAAGCCTTTATTTGGTCAGTCTGTGTGAAAGTGATTTTCATATTTCATTTTCATAACCTGTAGAACATTCTAAGTTAATATCAAAAGGTATTTTTTGGTACAACTTTATAATTTATCTGTTACTTTCTCTACCCCTAACTTTACAAAATCAGGATTGTAAAGTGAAATGAAAAGTTAAAATATATAAAATAAAGTGAAGAATACCACCTTTTTTTCCTAAAATGACTGCAGGTTGTAGCAAACAATTACAATTATTTATCCTAACATCCTCGCCTTTTAACCTTTTCACATATGCTTTCTTTTAATATTATAGTCTTATTACATTAGACCCTACCACAATAAATCACAGTGGGAACCCATTTAGGTGTTACCTGTACAGCTTAGGGTAAACAAACAATCTGATTATAGTTACAAACATAAAGTGAGTTCTCCTTAGCCATTGACTGAGATCATGAAATGTTAAATTTCATACAAGTTTTGTTATATAACATAAGGAGCTTCTAATTTTTACCTTTTTTTTACTTTTGTTAGCAAATATATAACAATAATTAAAACGATGGCTTGTGCTTGATGACTAGATGCAAGATGATCCTTGGAGAGGGAAAGATAACCGTTATGGTAGACAATGGAGGAAGAAATGTGAAATGAAGGACCAACCCATACAAACTCAAACCATCTGCATTGAGCCTCCATAGGGTAATCACCTATGCTGTTTTCAGCACTCCACATAAACATAGGATGTTTGCTGGTAACGGCAGAATCTCCCTTGTGTTCTGATAGAACATGGAGCCAATGTGGAAGGTCTGGAAACCCGAATGGGAGATGCAGTAAACCGTCAGTTAGAAGAATGAGAAAGGCAAGAAGCCGGTGTCTGCAGAAAAAAGTGAAAGTGTGCCACATCCACCTGAGATTCCATGGAATCTAAGTACCTGCAAAAATCTAATGTCTGAGAAAAGGAGATTCTCCAAGACCTATAATGGCTGAAGAAGTAATTCAAACACCCTCAAGCAAAGCATCTCTCTCCAAAAGATCCCAGCAATAAGCCAAAAATAAAAGAAGGAAAGAGCAGAAGCAGATAACCTTACCAAAGTAGATGTCAATAAATGATTAAGATCCTCTGAAAAAAGGCCCACAAGTATCCATATTACATCCCTAATTGCCCTTCATATAAACCATAAGCAGACAGAAACAAACCTCTTTTACTGTTGTAATGTTGGTATATTATTTTATTTTCTCTTAAGTGCTGTTAAAAATAGTTTTTTTTTTAATCCATATTTAGTCTATTCCAGGAAAGACAATAGCAAAGACAATGTTTTTCAATACAAAACACTTCCTGAACATTTAATGTGTTTCATATTTATTGTAACATGTTTGCGTTAATATCTTTCTCTCTCTCTCTCTTTTAGTTACATTTAATTTATCAACTTTATTATCAATGTATGTCAATAAACTTGGCATTAAAACATGGATTATAAATTCAATTTTTATATTTTGTAAGTTTTAATTTGTTAATTTCGAAAGGAACTATTTCAAAAATCTTCTGTCTTCTCTTGCCTATGTGTCTGCACTCTGAATTCTCCACTTCACATTTAATATCTTCTGTCATGCCTCATCCTCCCCATTTATCGATTCAGCATGCCTTAGCTTATCATTTCTTGGAGCACCCATATTTAGATTCGTGGAGGTTGGATCCTCTTCTTCTTTGGGGTTCTAGTCCTGATGCCTCTGTTCATTTTACCCACACTCAGTTTTCCAGGATTCAACTGTCTTTTTACAACAGTTGTGTGTTTTTAACTTCTTTGCAACTGTTGTCTGAGCCCTTTCACAGATTTCCTGCTCAAGCCTTTAATAAAAGGTTCAGTAAGTAACATGTTGTAATTACTTTTTTCAAAAGAAATTAGATGAAGTAGGAACCAAAAATTAATCCAGCTTATAAACATGGAGTTTTAATAATTGACCTACTTCACAAGATTGCCATCTATTTGGAATAGCTGGTCTCTGTTTGTCAGTTGCCACTATCTTCCTCATTTCCTCTATGGTAGGGTCAGAAGGCACCATGTCATAATAAGGAAGCTGGTAGTCTTCATACATTCCTGTATCAAAAGAAAAGGGTTACTCTTATATTGAATAAATGCAATGGAACTGAAAATGACCTAACATAGTAAAGTACTTTATGAAGGGTTGTTTCAAGTTATGCAAAATCAGTTCCTTTACTTCCAAATCAAAAAGTCAAAACATATATAATGAATTTCAAAATTACTAAGGGAAATAATGACACATTATTACCCCTTGCACTAGGGTATATAATGATGTATGTGACTGTGCTACGGTTTAATACATAGATCACTTTATTAACAATAAGCTTCAGGCCAAAGTTGAATGTAGTACACAGAAAAAAAAAGTAAAAATAAGAAATAACACTGAACTCTATAACTGTATTTATGCATGATGGCTTCAAATGTTGCAGTCTTACATGAACCTAAGACAAAAACATCAAAATAAAATAATGGTATTACAGAATATTTCTCAAAGATCAAGACTGTTCCACATTTGTTGTTGATATGGGCAAAACTGCTAATGTGGTATTTTTAGGTTAAACTGATTTATGCAAAGAGTCTGCTTTATAATGGGAAAATTGGCAGCATAAATCATGAAGTGATACTGAATTTAAGAGTTTAAGAGCAGCAATAAAAAGACTGGATATGATGCGTCATCAAAATGAGAACAATTTTTTTTATCTTAAAGTCACAAAACAGTGTTCATACTCGTGTTAGACACTGGATGGTCACCTTCTATTGTATATGAGAATTGACTAACTGTTATTTTCCCTTATGATATCTTCCCATCAACCAACTTACTTCAGATCCTGTGCAGTATTATTTAAATCTCACTTTTTTTATTTAACATGAAATGTTGGATTTATCCATAATGCCTGGCACTACCCCCATTACTGCTGTCATCTACATTCTTACACAACATGCAGCACTACAGCAATACTCCCCATGAGCAGAAAAAGTATTATCTTCAGAGAATAACAAAGGAACAAAAGCAGCTAGGCCAAAATGAACTAAATGGGTTTCTGAATCATGTATTATGCAAAAACTACAGACTTAGAATAAATACAAAATTTCTACAATAAAATAAGAAGGTATAAAAATGCACAGTATGCCTGAATACCATACTAATACAACATGAAGACTATCTCCAATATCAGTCATTATTTTGTTCTAACACTGCTACTAGTATGATAGTGGAAAGTTACAAATATTATACATATTTCTTATCAATAGCCCTATTTCTTGTTATTTTATCACCCCCCCTCCCAAAAAAAAAGAAAGAATTTTATGTAAAGTACACCTGAAGAAGCCAAACAAAATAGAATGAAATATAATACATGAATATGGCACACTAAAAAAAAACAAAGAAAATAATTATATAACAAATTCTTGAACCAGAACAAAAATTTATTGAAAAAGAATTGTTTTAAAGAAAGAAGAAAGTTGTATTCATAAAATATTTACAATATATAAAAGTAACTTGAGATTTATTTACTTTTGATTTCCAGACATTGTATGACAATACTTTACAAAAAAAAAGGGGTTCATACCACCAACAACATTACAGCGTCTAGCAATCTCCCACAATACCAGTCCAAAGGCATAAATGTCAGCTCGTTTGAAAGAATCAAAATGGTTCTGATTCATTGTTTCATCAAGGACCTCAGGAGCCAGGTAGCGTTTGGTTCCTACCCGTAGGTTAGAAGGAATGTCAACTGAATTGGTGGATGAGTCAAATCGGACAGCAAGTCCCAAGTCAGCAATACAGCATGTTCCATTATTTTTGACAAGGATGTTTTTAGTTTTTAAATCTCGGTGAGCAATTGCTGGTTTTCCTGTCATTTCATAAAAACACAATGTTCAACAACAAAACTTACAGACATCACACCTATCTGCTAAAAACCAAAAATAACGTACACCATTTAACTTCATTACAATTAAGTTTTATGAAAAAAACAATAACAAACATCCAACATTTCTTAGCATCATCACAACTATGTTCTTTATAACAAAATCACCTAAAATCAGGACATTTAGGTTCAAGACAATACAATTTCCATACAACATATAACATCATTACAATTATAGTCTATGAAACAAACCTTCTGTACATGTATCTGAACATCCTCTAACTTCAGTTAAAAGAAGTTTAAATAACCACATTATTACCATCACAAACATACATATCACTGTTACTATTGCATTTTATAAGAACAACATTCCAGACCCTATGTTCTTCCTCTGTCATCAGTTACATTCAGTCTAATGGCTCTGATTATGTACTACTGTCTAAGACCACAATTTATAATGTAAAAAGCTTCTGAAAAGGACAGCAAAATAAATCACACATCTCTACAAAGCTTAAACAGATCCTTCAATATACATGGATGGTAGCTTCCAAGACTATGTTTAAGCAGACACAAGACACAAACGCTCATTGAACTTGACAGGCATGTGGTCAAATTGGACTGATGTGGTTCCATTTGTTTTCTCTATTCATCTTTGCCATAGAAACACCCACTGATTATAAGATGTGACTGGTAGCTTGTAAGCCATGTTTACCATTTTGTTAACACCACCAGGAACTATGATCACCTTTATCACAATAGTTTTTTAAGTTAGAGGATTTTGTTTAGTAACCATAGCCTTCACACTGCAAATGACAGTATTGCATTAGGTCTGAATATGGAGCCTGTTGTTCTCCTAAAGGCTTTGCTGTGCAAGAATCTCGTCATTCACAGAGGATACTGAAGGCAACCTTTTTTTTTTAAATGTTGTGCTCTTCAGTTCTACATCATTTACTAATCTTACTGTACTAATATTCTTCCTTGATAAAGGCTGTGATAGTCATAAAAGACATGTGGTACAGGATTATTGAAGAGTCACACACTCACTATAAACCAACTATACAGGTACTACACATGTTGCCTGTGGTGCCATGGTTCATATCTGATGTATATAGGTAATAAACATATTGCTTGTGGCCCCACAGTTCACATCTCAGCTATATATGTACTAAATATGTTGCGTGTGATGCCATGGTTTGCATTTGAGGTATACAGGTATTAAACAAGTTTCCAGCGGTGCCACAGTTCGCATCTGATATAACTGGTTCTAAACACGTTGCCTGTAGTGCCATGGTTCACATCTGATGTGAATGCCACTGTATGCAAATCATTTTTATAATGTGCAATTACCCATTCCATACCATAAATTCCAAGCATTACCAAACATCAGCACAAATGTTTCCTACAAATGAGTTATCTTCACATTACTTACATGTAGCATCACATACATCTTCTTACACTAAGATATAAAATATATATGTAAGTAAATTAGAATACTGAAAACTGGAATACGTTTAAAATTTTAAGGAGAAATGGATCATCATCTTTTGATGATTTAAAGTCAGCCTGATTTTGGCATTTAAAAGACTTTCTCAGATCCATACCTACTGTTGATCCTTAGCTTGGCTATCAAAAAGTTGTCAATCATTACAGCTTGTATAAACACACTGTGCATTACCCCAAATCATGCTCAAGTAGTACGGAATTAAAGGTTACTTCTAAAGTGTTAAAAAAATGGTAAACTGGACTCATGTTCACATTCAACTGTAAAACCTGGGTTTCATTGTTTAATTATTTCCAAAACTCATTAAAATGACTTTGATAGAAAAATTAGAAATGTACCATCAACATACCATCTGTAATGAAGTAGGTTAAATTCTGCAGGACATTTTTCCAACCAATGTTCCTTATCAACAAATTAGTGATAGCAAGTGCAAGCTTTGATTTCATATTAACCCCATCAATCTAACTGTAATTGGACCCATGAAACATAAAATGTAATTCTCCAATCACATAAATATCTGCTAAGAAAAAACAAGCATAGGTAATAACCAATTTACTATAGCTGAATATGAATAAACTAAATCAGAGCATAAAGCAATAGCTTCTGCAATGGGATGTCAGTGCAGAGAGAGCTAAGAAACCAATAGTAATAATATTACCTTATGTAGGAAATTCAGAAGTGTGTTTAAATCTGTTGTGAGAGTAAAAATGTTTTTAACTTTAAGATACCTTACCCAAGATTAAGCAATCATTTGTCATCTGAAAATTTACTTTTTCTGGCTATGTGGATGAAAATTTAGGCTATGCCAGGAGGTCGTTGTTCATTCATGTAAAATAACATGCTCATCAAGTATTCCATGCCATGTCTCTACATACTGTGACCTCGCTCTCACAACAGACAACTTTGTGATAGTTGGCTGTGCTGTAGATGAGCTGCAATTAACAATCTGAGCCTGATAACTGCTAAACTCAGATCAGTATTAATTCAATGATACCACTACTTAAATCATGGCCTTGTTCCTATTGCAGCTACAATATAAAATCCCAAGTATTGTAAATTCAATGTAGCTATCTTAAATACAATAACAATACAACCCTACATAAGACTTGTATATAATAACTATTTTAAATACAAGAAAGCTTCATACAAGATGATAAAAACCCTATAACCCAAGCACTTTCGAAAGGTGAACCTTTCTTCTTCAGGGCCAAAATGGGAATGGTGGTGTAATCGAATGAGTGATATATAAAGGAAGTTGAATGCTGTCATGAAGGTCATCCAGTTTTCCAGGAAATGTTTAGTATACTTTTCCACGTACGATTGTAAATGTCTCATTTCTGATACAATGCAGTCGGCAACAAAAGCATTATGTAAAAAGGTGTTAGGGATATTTTGCTTTAGAATTGGCTAAATATATATATAAAACTGTACTTAAGTGTTTAAGTAAAATAAAGTTGGCACCTGAAAAAGAGATGATTACCTTTGATTACTCGCCTACCCAAATTAACTTTCTTGACGTCACTGTCTTTTTAAAGGATAGAATTTTACATACCAACTTGTACAAAAAACCTACAGACAGACCACAATACCTTCACTATAAAATACGTCACCCCACTCACACTAAACAGAAATTACTTATAGTCAAGCCTTTAGAATAAAGAAAATATGCTCAGAAGAAAGAGACTACAAAAACACACCAAGGATCTAAAACAAACCATGTTACAATGAGGACATAAAGATACTGAGATTGACAAATGAAAAAGGCTAACAACACTCAGCGGAAAAACATCCTAAAACAGAACAATACTAAAGTTTCAAATAGAATTCCTCTTATTACTACCTATCAATTTAAACTCAGAAATGTTTCACAAATCCTCAAAAAACATTTCCATCTCCTACAACTGAATGATCGACTTAAACAGATATTTCCTGAAGTTCCCGTTGTCTCCTTCTGAAAAAGCAGAACTCTAAAAGATATTCTTGTTCACACAAAAGTGAATTACATCCCACCAAAAAATGGTTGTCATCCATGCAATAAAGCTCACTGTCAAACCTGCAAGTTCATAAAAACTACTGACTCATTTTCTGACAAGCACAACCAAAGAAATTTTAATACATTCAAAGAAATCACTTCTGGAACAAAACACCACTTACCTTATACAGTGTAAAAAATGCAATCACCAATATGTAGGACATACACAAACAACTCTCAGAGAACGTTTCAACAACCATAAATCTTCTATTAACACCAAAAAAGATCTCCCTGTTGCTCAACACTTTAACCAACCCAGTCATTCCATTAATGATGTTACCCTCATCGGTATCGAAACAGGATTCAAAACTAAAGCTGATAGAGAAATAAAAGAAGCTTATTGGATCGCTAATCTAAACACTGTTCAACCTCTTGGAATTTATCTAGATCCTGGAATCAGTGATTGTCAGAAAAATAATTTTTCTTCTTTGCTTATTTCTTTCATGTAGTGTGAACCCTAACTTTCCTAAAACTTATTATTTATTTAAGAATATTTTCCATACTTATATGTATAAATTGATTAGCTGAACATCTCTTTTTCAATCACTTTCCAGGTGTCAATTTTATTTTACTTAAACACTTAAGTACAATTTTAAATATATAGTCAATTCTAAAGCAAAATATCCCTAACACCTTTTTAAATAATGCTCTTATCACCAACTACATTATACCGGAAATGAGACACTTAGAACAGTACACAGAAAAATATACTAAACATGTCCTGGTTTTTGATGACTTTCATAACATCACTTCAACTCCCTTTATATATATATATCACTCATTCCATTACATCACCATTCCAAGTTTGCCCCTGAAGAAGAAAGGTCCACCTTTCAAAAGTGCTCAGGTTATAGAGTTTTTATTATCTTGTATCAAGACTTATTGAACCTACATGTTCTTCCAACATCATTAAATACAAGAAAAATATGTCATATAAATCCAAACATCATGTAGTAAAATTGCTTTATATCTACTAACATTATTACTATTAGCTTCAATGTAACAAAACTTGATAGAATACATTATGATCATCATGGCTACAGTCAATAATATTAATAACTAGCTTGAGTACCCATCCCCAGGATGGAAGTTATGTAAATTTATGATTAATGAAAGGTTATCTTAGGACATGAAAATTTTCTTCCCTTAAATGTAATTTTTAAAAATGCAAAAATGCCAATTAAAAGTGCAAAACATAAAAATGTGAAGCCACAAATCTGCATGTATCTCCGCATGTACTCAAAAAACCTTCATGCCAAATTTGGTGAAGATCCATCTACAGGGGACAAAATAGTGGTAAAAACTGCAAACTGAACATTTGTATGTACCCCCTGCATGGACCTAATGAACCTCCATACCAATTTGGTGAAGATCCATCCACACCCTGTGAAGTAGTTACATGGACATACAACAGACAGTACTATTATATTTATATAGATACCTAATTTCACCTAACACTATTACAACCACTTTCATTTCACAAAACATTTAAGTATCACATGATATTATCACAACTATGTTTGCTATAAGAAAAAATTAATTTTACCTTCTTTCTATACAATAAATCTGCCTCATAACATCTGTATAGTTTGTATCAAATCATCTACTCTTTTTAGAATTATCTATTACCAAAAGTTTTATTTTACAAAATAAGTTTACATTATTCTAATTTTTATGTTCTTTGACTTTAAATTTATGCAACTTGAAAAATATCGAAAGTACTAGGTTTTATTTTGGCTAAGTATGTGTTAACCTAATAAATAAGAGTTATTATTATTCATTTTCTTTAGTTGATTACAAAGCTTTTAAGTAACTGTACAATTATAGATGCAACACTTAACGCTTCAACATTGTCATAAACATGCTTATAAACATGTGAAACAATACTGAATCGTCTGGAATAACAAGTTTAAAAAAGTACAAACAGTACTGTTGCAGTAGACGATTGATAAATGAATAAATCATTCATTGTTTCTAAACATTCAACAATGCATAAGGTCAAAGTAGAGCCTTAGACTTTTAGAAATAGCCATCGTCATGTACCACCGGGCTTCTACATAATGTTCAGGTGTTAGACATTAGGCACTATAAGTGATGCATTGCTGTTTGCTTGTTAACTTAGTTAATCTGAAATACTTGTTACATTAGAAATGAATTATTTTGATACAATATATAAAAAAGTTGGCATTACAGTTCAAAAAACACTTTTTTAGAAAGCATGTGATAAAGAAAATTTTTTTAAAGGCTAGTGTGATATCTGATGAATGTAAGTTCCATAAATTTCCTAATTAATCTCCAAGGTTCAGCATATTCTAAATAGTTCCAAGATAAACCTAAGCTTTGAATATTTTTTCCAGTTTCCTTGAAAATTCTTTATGTGCCAAACATTCCCAATCAACTTCAAAGCTTTCTTGTGTCCCGTAGAACTCCTACTTACTACCTCTAAGCATATGCCTCAAAAATATCTGTTACATCTCTGGTCGTTAGTTAACTTCCCGTATAATTTCTTTCCAATGAAACTTTAGCGACACAAGTCCTTTCTTAAATAAAACTGGTTTATTCTTTCTGAATACAACTTTGCAATACACTTAATTTCCACAGTCGCGCTATAACAAATGCTATAATTCACAACGAATGTCTCACGTGCTCACTCAACAATTTGTCTCTCTCTGTCCATAGTTCTATTACACATTGTTGCCGTCACGTCTTGACAGTCTTATATGTACAAGAATACCGAATATCTAGTAAAAGCTCGAGACTTCATGAATCTTCGAGAATATGACGTGTTACTAGCGCTGTCGTAACATATCTCAGTACACCTCAAGCTTTATATAATAAAAATATTTCGGCAACCTTCCAAACTTCATTGTATTTAAAATGGTTCTCAGACAACTTTTGACCTTGGTTATTCTCATACATTTCTCCACTAATCTTTAAGTTTGCAATGCCCCAGACATCTCCTAGATGTCATTTTCTGTATCATCCAAGGTTTCTTATACCATATTTGCTTTCTTTAAGATTCCAAATATTATGTTTTCAAATTACCTCCTGAAGGTCCACCACTTGACCTCCACACCTATTTTACATTTCAAATATCCCAAAATTTTACATGAATTCAAACTTTTTCACTCAGTTCATCTCTAACTTCAGTCATATTAAACATTTTCCAGTTAACCTTAAAAAAACCACTGTGTTTCAATTATCTGCAGATTAACCTTTAAACCTATTATCTGCCCCAAAGATTGTTGAAGTAGCATAAAAACTTATTATGTACCTGGGAGATCTCTCACTATACCTAAAATTAATACCTAACTTTATTATACGTCCCAACTATCTTTCAAATAACCTTTAAACTTATACTTTGTAGCCCTATTATTTTAGCTGTTACCTTGTGTTCCAAATATCTCCATGTGAAGATGTGCTAGTCCATTAATTATAGAGTAAGCCATTTTACACATAGTAGCTATATCAACAGTTGTTTTGTTCAGGTAGTCAAATAAAGATCCATTCTCGTGGTAATCAGTGACTAGCCACAGTTGAGTCCATGTTCCATTGTCTATGTAGAGAAATAAGTTGATGAGATGGGTATTCTTTAGTAAAGTTATAGATACTATTAGAACATACAATTTTAAAATGATAGAGTACTGATTTGAAATCTAAACTTCAGCTTTAAATTAAAATTTTTTAATAAGACAAGTGCAATTACATCATAACTTACCAGTCAGTCAAAATAATGGTCTATGATTCTTTTACACCCTTAAAATTTAATTTCTGACTTCTGTTAGCTACTTATATAAATTATAGTTGTGTCTACTCAAGGTTAAAGCTTACAATAAAAATAATTTAACATATTATCTCAAGTAAGCCTCAATATATTTGGATAAACATAATTGTTTAACGTATATCGTCAACTGAGAGTAGTTATAACTTCACTACTTTTATGATGTACTGAATCTAATGCACATATAAGGTTCTGAAACTTTCTGTATAAGTAAAGACATGTTTTGCTACCTTTGTTATCAGCTGCAATAAAACCAAGAATACTTTCATGGCGAAGCATTACAGTCTGGTATATCTCAACTTCTCTGAACCATGACTTCTCATCCCTAGAGGAAAAAATTTTAACAGCTACAGGCTCACTTCGCCATCTTCCCCTCCACACTTCCCCATACTGGCCTTTACCCACCACGTCCATAAGTTGGATCTGACGAGCAATGCTTCGCTGAACAAGCAATGGTACCCCTGTCACAAATAACATATTAGAATTACTTTAACATTTATTCCATCATAAAAACTTTATAATATTTTATAAAAGAAGCAGGGGTAACCTTGTAAAGATTGATCTACCAGTATTTTAAGACACTGTAAAAAATTACAGTTTACAAATTTTTGCTAAATAGACAAAATTTGTCTGTAATATACACAAACAGGTCTTAATGCTCTAGTAAAAAGTGTTAGTCTAAATATATCTAATGTAGTTAAATAAATTATGACAAAATTATCCCACAATACACTATAAAGGAGACAAGGGATCCATGTGAAATTCATACATTCTATGTTAGACAACAGGCGAGACATGGGAGTATCACATGCAGATAATACAAAGAAAGTATCTACTTTGTAACACAACATTTTTGAAAAGTACAATAATATCTTTCAACAAATATAAGCTTATCACTCAATCCATGTCTTTAGGGATGAATATAAGGAAGTGTATCTATACAATAGCCCTTGGAAGGATGCAACTGCAGGAAATAAAGTAGCAAATTAATAGGCTTAAATCATTAAGGCCTCATTGCAGAAATTCAAGAAGTGTTTAACTTAATCAAGAACACAGTGAAAATTGTGTGTAAATTGTCACATGCAATGGCAGCAGAGTATGCAAAATAATGCAGCTTCTAGAAATGGCTCCCAATTATGATCAGAAGGCTTACCATATTACATGGCCCAACTATTATTACAGATTGTGAGTGGATGAGATAAATCACACCAAAAAGGATTGAAGCTGAATGCAAGAAAGAGTTTAGATACCTGTATCAATATCAAGGTTAATACCACAATATCCTGTAGATGATGTGGAAAATGCACATGGCAGCTTTTCTGTCACAGTTATTCCTGTTTTATATCATGCAATACTTCATTGTGACTAATGAGTACAATCTGCTACCACACATACCTGTGTCAAAACTGAATGAAAGTCCTATAATGTTTTTTTTTAATATTTTCTTTGAATTCTCTTCAAAAAAAAGCATAGCATTTGATTAATATATAGGACTCTGTTCTGGTATGTGAGGTTCCTTTCCAATACCCATATGTAATGTGTTATGGAGTTTATGAGATCCATCTATTGCACTTACAGACTTTACTCGTTCACCTTAATCGATTCACATAGAGAAACCCCTTTTTTAACAACTCCTTATAGGTTCGTTACCAAATCCCACTGGTTATGGGCACTTCTTATCTTAAAATACTTAGTTCTTTGTGAAAAATTCCAAATAAAAATATTTTGGATATAGCTCTCTAACGATATCTATGATAACACCATCTCAGCAAGAAAATGTTTGTTTATTATACTTCTACAACATCAACTTCTATGATAACTACTTTTGAAATACAGTATTCAATAAATCTGATAATTTTAATTCAACAAAATTAACGTTTAAAAAAGTTTACTACCACTTGCAATTTATTTCATCAGTCACTGATGTCAGTATGATGCATCTTCATTAACTCATTTAACTGTAATGTTGATTAAATAATGTGCTCCAAAATGCTATGTAACATGTAGTGTGAATGTAGCTGACTAAATTTCAAAAGGTAAGTTATTAATGCAGAAGAGTGTTTGCCATGCCTCCCAATAGGCCACTGCAAAAACAGAATATTTAAAGCACCCTTTTTCTAAAGATATAGAACAAATTGTGGTTTCACAATCCAAGATATGGAGTTAAATATATATATAAATAATTTATACTTGACAAATAATAAAGGTAAATTTTTATAACTAGCTGTAAAATTTCAATGAGAAAATTCATTATTTTGTGTGTGATGGCAGATTTTACCATGCAAATTCAGATAATGAATACATAAAAAAACTCTGAAAAATATTATATTTGCACTCATCTGTATTGGATAATTATGGCAACATCAAGAATACATTAGTGAAAATATTACTTTCAAATTTAAAGGTTTTTGGCCTATTTTGAGCAAAAAAAAAGAAATAACTGATGGGAACAAAAACACGAGTTTTTATAAATTTTAATGATTTCACTTTGGGGTCTAGTTTACATGAAAAGTTCACTCAGAATCTTTTTTCATAATTGCTTTAACTAAGTGATGAAAAAACTATTTTTTTAACACTGTATATAAAGAATATGGAGAAGAAAGTTTCAAATGTAGGAGTTTAAGCCAAATCAAATCTAAAAACCTTCTGAACTAACTAAATGATCAACTGGAATGTATGCATTCTCCAGCTATAGTTCATGATCTAAATACTGCAGAAAGCCTTTGACAGCTTCTTTGATACCACATATATCAAACCATAAATAAATCAAGCAACATAGAAGAGTTTGGCATTGCACCAACTGAGGAATAATTGGAAGGACTTCCCATAATGTTGTCCATCAACCAATCAGAACTATGTCTTGCAAATGGATTTTCAGAAATGCGTCGTTTGCCATCCCTATTCTCTGTTTTATTTCATGATCACACTTCCAACTGATGTTATCCAGCTTCCCAGGTAGTTTAATTTATTGATCTGCCTTATATGTTCCTTATTACTTTGATAATGTTTACAGGAATGATTTTCTTCTTTGTAATTACCATGCATTCTGTTTTCCTACAGTTAATACTTAAACCCCTCTTCTCACTTTCAATAACAACTTTATATAAAAGTTTTAGTAGCTTCTCTTCTGAATCAGTTACTAAAATTATGTCACCAGTATAATACAATTTGTTCATGTTTTTTTCTGCCAATGATCAGCCCTGATAAATTCTCAATCTACCTCAAGATTTTTTCACTGTACTAGTTGAACAAGTCAGGTGAAAAGACAAAGCCTTGTCTCATTCCTATCTTAATTTTGATGAAAGTATTTTATTCATTTTCTATCTTCACTGTTGCAGTTTGGTCCCAGTAGAGTTTTCTTAAAATTCTCAAGTCTTCACCATCAATGTTCAGTTCTTCCACCATTTTCATTAAATCCAAATGCTTGACTCTATCGAAGCTTTGGTATAATAACTAAAACACAAGAAAAGGTTTCACTAAAAACATTAGTGAATAAATGAAGCTCCTTCAAATAAACTCTAATTTCATCTCTTGTTCTTTAGATGGTTGTAGAAAATTTTAATATTAGAATATCAACCCTTTAGGCATTAAGAATAGTTTATTATTAGAAATATTAACCTTCCTTTTAACAGAAATAGTACTATGATACCCCTAAAGTCCAATATCCTTAGTTTGAAGTAAAGCTCATGATGTAACAATGTCCAATGAGGGTAGTTTAAATCACAACCATTAACCAAAGAACAGAAACTGATAAACCTTATAAACCATCATGATTCTTTCAAAAAATATTTTCAGTAGATTTAACATATTGCTTTCATTAAATGACTGAATCATAGAGTGCACAAAGTAATGTAGCAAATGTGTACATATTTAGGGTAGGCCAGAATTACACAAGATCCTATTTTATGGAATACTGGATCAGCAAACAGTTCTAGACATTCCACAAAGTAATTTCTTAAAAAATCTCCCCCTGTGCCTTCTTTTCTATATTCTTCCCTGATCTCCCTCTACTTTATTATTTTGTTGCTTTTGACTTTTGTATTTTTTTTCTTTCTCTGTATGCAGTCCTGCCACTGTTTTTCCCAGATCTCCTCTACTTTAATATTTTGTCTCATATGAAACCTTGGATGCATGTTATGAGGAATAAGTCAACTTTTCATAAGCATGCTTAAAAAGAGTTATATTGAAAAAAAACAACAAAACATTATATTAAAAAAATGTTACAATACTGAGCTTTTGTTTTTTCTTCATTAATGCCTTGAATACTCAAATGTTATAACTATCACACCATGACCAATGCTTTTCTTTAACTCAACTGTCCTGTTAAAGCAATTTGTACATTAGGTATCTTTATAAGAATATTCTACTTTCCATAACCATATTGCTCAAATTTCTCTATAGCCCAGACAGGCAAATCTAAGATAAAGTTTATTGAACAATAGAAAATACTGAGTTTCACAAAAACGTCTTGAAATAATCTTTTCATACTCTCGCCTTTTACTGTTAAATCAAAATTTCAGTAAAATGGGGAATAAAATAATTATTCTTTGTTTATTTTGTTTCGGAATGATTTGTTTGTATAATGGCCTACATTTTATTCATTAATCTTGTCAAATTACAGAATTAAATTATCCAATTTCATTATGTCATAGGTGTTTTCTTAGCTGACTGCATATATTTATACATCAATCGATACCACTTGAATATTTTCCAAGGATACTGAAGGATAATTGTACAGATGCTAGCCAAAATGACAACCTTGAATTAAATCAAAACAATTCCTTGCTGTAAGTATCATTTAATTCTATAAATGTTTCAAAATGTATCTGCTCTTTTTTGATACAATAGAAAACAAATTCTGCTTTGGCATTAGTTCTGCATCAAACAACTATTGAACAGATGCATGTTCTATGGTGCATAATACCATGAACATTGTGGAGGATTATGATTTTAAAGACATAGTAATACTTATCTTTGCTGTAGATTGCATCATTACAGTAATGGCTGTATGTATGGCAGATGAATTAGGACAGGCCTTGTCAGGCTGTTGTCACCCGAATTATATGACACCACCAAAGATGATTAGTGAACATATTTGAAAACTGACACACACACATCATTTCACTTAGTTTACTTTGTGATCTTTGCTCAGAGTTGATCTAAACTTCTTATCTTGAGGTCCTTATTTTGCTCAAAGTTATCTTGATACCATATTCTCTTCTGTAAATACTGCAGGACAAACATTTCTATTTGTATCAGCCTTTCTCTATGGTAACAAGATTTCTATTCTAGTAAAAGCATGTCTGTATTTTGATGCCAAAGGTATGTTTCTTCTCTACTAATTTTACTACACAGTCTTAAATCTCAACTTCCTTGAACACTTGAAATGACCCCCTCCATCACATTAACAGCTTATGGTCATTGACATGAATTAGAACTAAAGGTTCAACTCTACAATTTC